TTCTTCCAGCCCTGTGTTTTAGAGCCTATCAGGGTCCGCGTTGGCAGCATTCATATTTCTAGCTCCACCCGATTAAAATGGAGGCTCTGCCTTTATTTACCCGTTGCCATGGTGAATTGTAGTATCAGAGCTCCATTGATTTTTTTCATCCCCACGCACGCACTTCTATCAGGCTCAACATACTCTGAGTTGATTGAACTTATTCTGATCTGCTGTTCTGGAACCAAAAATTCAGAGTTTGCCACCTCAGGCTCAATCAACCCAGAGCTCAGGGATAAGCTCAGAGTTTGTTAAGCCTGCTTTCTGAAACTGACGTAAACAGTAACGTTACCTGTACTGCCGTATACCATCCAAGTCACATCAAACAGAGTAAATTGTAAAGTCACACTAAATTCAAGACTTTTTTTAAAAACTTTAAAAGACCACGCACTTAGCCTGATTAGAAGGCAACCTGTGGATTTTTCTCATAAACAACCTGCTAAAGCTGCACATACACTGTACTGTTCAAAATCTTGTTTAACTCCAACTCACACTGTACTAGGGATGAAATGATTGCCGGTGTAATGATAAAACATGGTAAAATTCCCGACGGTTATTATTACCATACATATTTTAATTACCATGATAACCGGATACGGTTACGACGTTATTATAGTAAACACTGTTCAGCATCAACCAAAGTTAGCGACAGTCTCCCAGAAGCAGGTGCGCATGCGCAGGATGCAGCGTGGCTTTGTTTGGGTCAATGACAACATGACGGAAGAGAGTGCTGCAGAGATTTTTCAGTCACTCTGGAGTCTGGTCGTGTTTTAGTTTTAATGAGAGCACTGAGGGAAACTTGACAGAAGAAAACAGCCTTATAGTGAACGCAGGGTGTGTTAACTTTTAGCTTCGGTTTGGCTGACTTTCTAACAGCTTATAAACTGTTTATTTGTTTTCATGTAATTGTGCATGGGGTCATTGCATTACCTATTTAACATAAAATCTTGATAATGCACCCTTAGATGGTTTTCAGATGTTTACAAAAGGTATTAGCTGTTATTTTATTGTTTATGCAAACAAAATGGCAATTTTATTTGTAGTTTTAAATATGAAACTTGTTGAAATGGTTTCAGAACATTTTAATCTTTTTCGGCACATTTTTCAATACTGTGATAATACAGATAACCGTGATCATTTTGGTCACTATAATCGTGATATGAAATTTTCATGATTTACACTATATAAATCAATATAAAGCCAGAGCTCTCAATTTACATGCTCAAACTCATGTATAAAACAGTAGATTTATATAACATGTCTAAAAAACAGACTGTTCTGGTTATTGATAATTGTCAATAAAGACTGGCAGGTAGTTTGTTTGCTAGCAATAATGCCAACGAGGCAGAAACGTGCCAAAACTTATTAAAAAAGAGGCGCCGCTGTATATGGACTAGGTGGCTGGGAAGACGTGGACGGAATGGAATGTCCATTTTGCAGAAAGAATTAGAGGTAAGCCAGCTATGTTTTACTGTAGTGATTGTTAACTTTCAGACGCCGTTCACCACTTCACGTAGGAGCTGGGGGAAAAAAAAGGCGCCGATCGTGAGCAATAAACTGATGGCTCTGCTTCAACTGTGCGACAGCCTGACGACGGCCGGCCAAAATGTCTGATATGCCAGAAATTCAACCGACCGTCCGACAGCCGTTGAGGAGCAGCTGACCGGCCCTCGCTGCCCCCTCTACACTGCACGGCAAATGTTGATGCTATTTTGATGCTTTAAACTTTACATTGTTTATATTCATATTTACTGGCATGTAGGCTATGTTTCTTAATGCATTACTGCCACTGACTGCCAGTCAACGGTAATAGCGGGTGTGTGCAAGATATAAACACTGGGTTCTACTCGTAAAGACACTGCTCAACAGCGCTTCTAGTGGACATAAACACAATTAAATTACTTGTTGGTCTCATTTTGGCAAAAGCCTGGCACCTGCAGCCATAGCAGCCCTGAACAAGGTGTCTCAATGAGGACACCAGGAGTCCTGCTTTCACATGTCCTGTCAGTGGTTGTTGTTGCATGTTTGTGGTGTGCACTTGTTGGGAAATGATATGTGGGAAAGAAAATGTTAATTGGTGATGAACAGTGCTGTGAAATAATTTCCCTCTAGGGTGTAATGGGAATTCCAAACATATTGCATGTAACCCTGGGATCAGGGAGACTCATCTGAGATGTGGCACTGAATCTGTGTAAACATAACAGTCAAAATATCTCTGTTCTCTGTGGTATCCAGACTTCAGGGACAACGTGTCTCTGTGGGATGATATGATTGACCCTAAAGCTGGATAAATAACAGGCTCACAGAGCTCTCCTCACTCATTCGAGCATACATGTACACGGCGCATGTGTGTTGCTGTGAGTCCTTCTGCAGAAATTCACAGAAAGACAAGTGTTTGCCTGAGCTGCTTATTTGAACACCCTCATTCCCACCACAGGGGACAATAAAGTCTAAAGTCTACCTTCAAATTAGAGGTTCATCTGTGGTGGAGTGGGTAACTCCACTAAGGGAGCTCTGTTTTTAACAGGAAAGGCAGCTGCCCTGAAAAAAAAAAAGAAGGGTGTGGAGTCGAGGCGTGGTGGCATCGGGAACGCTGTAATTATCCCTGAGCAGGCGAAGTCCATCAGCTGAATACAGCACAGTCCGTCAGGCTGAACCCGGCTGCTCATGTCTCCCTGTTTCAGGTCACTGACCCACACACCTCTCCAAATGCATGAGGTCTGGTGGTGAGACACCCGAGAGCTGCTGGTGTGTCTTCAAGCTACAAGGCAAGGACCCAAAGTAAACTGCAGTAAGCAGATACACCTGCCTGAACCACTGCCTCGGTCACACACACGGGGATCTGGTCTTGCTCACAGATTATAAAACCAGAGACTTGGTATCAACTTTCAAGAGGTTTGAGAAAGGGCTGAGCTGTTTCTAGGAATCAACAGGCGGCATGATGGGGGTCCAAAGACTGAGCACAGGTCATAAATCTTAACCGCCCCCTTTCCCTGCAGGGTCCCCCTAGTTTTTGACACCTTCCTAAACAGCTCGTTGGGACGCCCCCAAACCCTTGCACCCCCTGCAAACGTATCCGATACATGCAATGGTTGATGTAATTTTCAGACCCAAGTTCACCTCACACTACCACATTTCTGAGGGGGGTGCTACTCAAATAGCACCCGACATTACAGTCATTATTTTCTAATTAAGCAGCAGGGTTTGGGGAGGGCAGGGCGAGGCGACCAGCTAATTAAAACTGGGATATTGCGGTGACTAAAAATAAATGAGGTTTTCCCAGCAGCCCTGGCACTGACCTTTACAGAGCGATGAGGCATTTTTAGCCTCAGAGTGTCGGGAGTCTGGGTCAGACTGCCGGCAGGACGAGGTGCAGCATGTGGTGATGTTCACATCCATCACCGACCTCCATCATAAACCAAACTCAGCGTAAACATGTCTGACTTTTCCCAGATGATCACTATCCAGTAGTTTTATAAGTATGTATAAGTTTTGCCGTGTCTCAGTTCGCACCCGCAGTACTCACACTTGATATTTTAAGAGCATAAGTGCGTTCACACTGACCAGTATGGTAAAATACAGTGCACAATGAGTACCTGGATGGTGTACTAATAACGGTCAAAGAGTTGAGTGTGGAATGCTGGACACTTCTCACCCTCAACGGTCGCCATCTTGGCTACGTAGCAGAAGGGGAGGGACCACCAATGTATTATAAAACTTGTGAAAATGGAGGCCCAAGAAGCTGCAGTGGTTGCAATTGTAAAGGTACAAATATGTTAATTTTTTTAATACTTTTTTAAAAACTGAATTGAAGTCAAGTGAGCAAACAAGACAGCCGATATAGGTGGGTCAGGGCTCTACATGAACCTTTTTCCCCAAGGAGCACATGAGCTCCTAAATGAAAAGATTTAGGAGCACACAAAGAAATTTAGGAGCACAGCAAAAATGAGTTTAACACCATTTATTATACACATATTTATACTACATGTTTGCTCCTTCTGCTTGTGTTCAAATATGGTATGAAACCATTGTAGGACTGGAAGTAAAGACCTTAATATTTTGTTAAAGCTTTTTAAAATATTGAAATAGATTTGAAAATTTGAGACATTGAAGACAGTTTTTTGAAACACTGATCAGCCATCACAAAAAACCTTTACTGTGATTAGTGCTTTTGTAGTTTTTTTTTTTTTTCCAGGGACGGATTCACAATATACCAAAAGCACCCACACAACCCACGCCACACCTAATGTAAACAAGACTACTGAACAGTGTTACAGTAACTGTAGTAAATCAGAACAAGGGGAACGTGTTGCTCTCAGGAGGAGGCTAGAAGGAGCACATGCTGGCACACTGGCATCCTCTGGCATTAAAGAGCCTCTGCAGTGGAAAGATGCAGATTTCCACTGCAGAGGCTCTTTAATATGGAGGAGAAACTACTTTAAATGAGTGTATAAGTCTAATATAATAACATTAGATAAAATCTAATAATATACTGTTAGTATGTTGATATATAAATTATTAAAATTTTGTCATTCATTAAATACTTGTGCAAGAAAAATACTTCAACAAATACTTCATTTGTTTTGAATTAAACCTAAATATGTTAATTCTACACTATCATATTACGTTTATTACATTTTTGTACAGCTGTTTGGCAGTATTTCACACTGATGTTTTTTACACTTGTGTTCCTGTGCATCACAAAGTTGTGTTTAGAACTCTAAAAATGCAAAGTTCACCATAGTTCAGCTCAGAAAATGCTTCAAGTAAAAAGATAAAGAGTTTGCTCTCCAAACTTATCCTCACCCAGATGTTTTAGATCAGATATTCACCACCCCTTTCATATTCAAAATGAATATAGAAAACATAGATATACAGATAAACAGATAGAGTTAGAGGAAGCAGCACATGTTTGTAACGGAAGTCAGTGATTGTGACTGATCTAATGCCGTGGTACTTACAGTGCGAGCACATGTCCAGGGCGTAACTGGCTTCATTTCCCTGAAAAAGACAAAATGTTGACAATGAAACAAGTGTTCCACATTTAGGCATCTGATTAAAAAAAAACATGTATTTACACCAAGGGGCAAAATGCTTTACACAGTACACGAGAGCAGGACTGTGGTCCCCTCTATCCCCCAGTCTGAAGTGAGGATCTGTGTTTTTGGCATGTGGAGAGCTGCTAAAATCCCCTCAGTACATCACATTAAATCCCACTGATGTTGGGTAAAAAACAGTTCTCCGTTGACTGGGAGAAATCTTACTCTCTAAAATCTACGCAAATGTTACAGAGATGAAAGTAAAAACATAGAAGATTAATTTAGCTATTGCGTGTCCCGCTCTCGGCTAATTGTTGGCGTTCTTCATTATGCATGAGCGACAGAATGATCTGGACTCTGGAAACTAGGCCATTGTGCCGCTTTGATTTGCCTCGCCTCATCTCTCGAGGACTTGCAGGAACTGAACCAGGCTGCTCAAACAAGGCTGCAGCTTTCCTGGGAGACATTAACTCTAAAGTCACATAAACGGGTATTATGTTCCATCTTCCAGCAGATGATAACCAGAATCTCACCTGTGCGGTTTGACTAGTTTTAACGCTGCTGAATTTATTAATACTGGCCAGCCACTGAGATTTTGAGCTTCGCTTTCCGACTCCGTTTAAAACTCAAAAATGCAGTTAAATATCTGTACTCAGATGCTTCGGTGGCATCTCTACTTTCTTTAGGAGGCTGTGTGATTTTGTTGTTCTTGTCAGTTTGTTTTGTACAGAGGGAGAGGCTGAAAAACCACTCATGCCTTGTGTAAACTGGAGGATTTTAACTTCTTCTAAACGATTTTAAAAATGTTGGATCTCAGACATAATGACAGAATTAACAAATTTTTTATATTTTAACACACAAACCAGACGGTTCAGTCCAGACGCAGGACCACACGCTCTGCGTTTAGTATAAACGGTTTCAAAGCGGCGGTTCCGGGGACTTGGGATCTCACAGAATCTCGCGTGATCAAACATGACTTTCTGACAGACAGAAACAAAAATGGAGGCAGACTTGCCTAAGACCTTTTGTGAGCTGTGTTTTGCACAGAAAAACAAAAAGAAGAGAATCAAACTGTGGATGAACTCGAGGCTGATAAGAGGGAATCAGCAGGTTTATATATTTTATAGAGCAGATACACAACACGCTGGGAGCACTTCCCGCTCAGCTTGCTCTCATTGGCTGCTGCAGGTTTCTGATCAGAGATCTTCCTGATTTTCAAAGGCCTATATCAAACATTTCAAATCGGGGAGCCTTCAATCCAGTCAGCGTCCTTAAGTTTATGTCTGTAATAATCTGTTCCAACCTGCCTCGGCTTGGTAATGCCCCCACGTATTTCAGAGGGCGAATCTGCCCCCAAAGCAGCCCATTTATCCTCTAGAGTGCGGCAATATTAGTTTGTTATCATTATTTTTATCATCAATAAATCTATTTATTCTCCCAAATAATTGTTTGGTGTAAAAAATGTCAGAAATCATTTCTTAAAGACCAACTGGACATCTTCAGGTTTTTTTTTTGTCCAACTAACAACTTAAATTCAAAAACATCATCATAAATATCATAATATCATATCTTTCTGACACAAGAAAAGCAGCAAATCCTTACAATACTAAAGAACGTTTGTATTTTTGCTTGAACAGATCACTTATCAGAATAATAAGTGAAATGATTATTTGTAATGATTTACAGAGAGAGACCTTGTGTAGTTTGGATCTTGAACTAGTGCGATTTTCTGCAAAAATTACAGCAAAATACAACACAGACCATTTTGTTTCACTCCAGATTGAGTAATTATGGTTTAATTGAGGCCGACTGAGGATCTGGTTTCTTTGATTGCCGTACCAGCCACTCAAACACTCCCCCTCCCTGCTCAGTGAAATCTGTTCCAGCTCAGCATCTGACACCGAGCCCAACGCTGACTTGGCTCCGATCACAGGCGTCACATGGGCCCAGTACACTACATGTTGTTCCCTTTTCAACACATGCAGTTATACTTGTGAGCTCATGATACACATTAATGTTTAGGTGGCCTACACCAAGCTGTACGACTGCGGTGGTATTGCGTAACGTGTGTTGGCACGCTGCAGCTGGTCTAAGCAGGGATTCCCCTGGGAGACCCAGCTGCAGCATAAACACCTCACCCTCAACCATCTGAAGTTTGGGAGTATTTTAGTCAGAGACCCGACGACATGGTGATCTGTGAGCTCTGTGAATTTGTAAAGTATCTTCACAGCAGCAAGCAGAATCATCCCAGAGCACTGTGTCAAGATGGCACAGTGTTTCCTTTGTGTCTCCACACAAGCCTGATATATCAAGATGATCAACACGAGGAGCGTGTTTCGGATCCGTACCGTATTGGTCCGAATATAAAAGACGACGCTGATTTCAAGATGACCCCCCTCCCCTTTTTTTCCAAGAGTCATTTTATAGATAGATAGATAGATAGATAGATAGAAAATAGTTTTATTTGAAAATAAAACAAAGTAGGTTGTAGTTTTTAACATCTAGATCTAGACTATTATGCAGGTATTAACGTTATTAATCTCTTTTTGTTCAGAGTCTGGCTACTATTTTATATTTACTCAAACATTTCCTGAAGTGAAATTATTATTGGTTAAGGCCTATTTTATCCTGTCTGTTACACGCCATGGTCTGTTAAAGAAGACATTGTTTTTAAATGGAGTATCCCTAACTTACACCTGCATTTCACAAATCAAATTGTCTGGTCACTGCAGCTTTGGTTTCACTCTACATTTTTCCTCCTGGTCCTCTGCTCAACCTCCTCCAGTTTGGGAACTACTGGCTTAGGATAAACAGCTGGTCTGTGGTTGTGACACCTCAACACCGAGATATTAAACTCAATGCAAAAAGACAATCCTGCACGAGTGCAGTCATATTTGTAATACCATCGTAACTGGATATAATATATTCAATCACTACTGGCCTTTTATTAGGAGGTGAAATGTCACCATCATGTTAACATGCACACCAACATTGTATTTTTATTACGTTTACAGATCTCTTTAAGTGGCGACCGATTTTTCAGCCACTACAGCCTCATGCTGTCGTCTCTGCCTCCGTCTGTGCATTCAGGTGGTTCACTACACGAACCTCCATCATTCACTAGCTGGTATTAAATTCACATTGCAGTAACAACAAAAATATGACTCAAGAGTGCTTCCCTAAATGACACAGCTCCATTAAATGTGTTGCTATTTCCTCTGTTTCTTATTACAGACCCAAAACAGGTCACGTGACCCTGCAGCTTTCACTGGTTAATTTCACCACAGTGCAAAGTGCCATTAGAGGGCCTTTAAAGTCCATTAGTGTTTAAAGAGGTAGAAACATATTAGGGTTTGTCTGCTCTGTGATAAACTTGTTCCTGTCAATTGTTCGACCGTGACGCCGACGCCTATGAAACTGTGCGGCTGTTTAAATCCACTGAAACTAAACACACATTAAAACACAACCGACAGATCGGTCCCCCCGGCCAGGCTTCATTTACACACTGAATGAATTTATGAATCTGACCTACAATAAAACACGTGCCTCTATATTTAGGGACGGCGACTGGTAACCCCACCTCGGCTCAGTTTATCTGCCAGATGATTTGAATCTCTGACATTAATGTGATTGGCGTTACTTCACAGACAGGGTACTCGACAGTAAAGCTGCTGGTGCTGCAGCAGCATCTGAAAAGAGCCTCAAACTGCAGACCAGCCGGCTCTGATCCGAGCAGGACAAAATCCGACGCACCGACTCTCATGTTAACTGCACAAAAAATACACGTTTGGGGGGGGGGGGGTCCCTCATAGAGATGATGGGTTAATTTAAAGGTTTTTTATAAATGTATCCAAGGACTGCAATACGCCTGCAGTTGAAGATTATTGTGATTAAAAACAATAATCACCAGTGTTGTCTTCAAATATATTTTTTCATCTGAACAAAAAAAGTATTTCATCAATAATGATCTAAAGTGAACAGCAGCATATTTAATAGGCAGGACTAAACTTTTAACGAAAACAAATAAGCAACATCGGGTTAATCAACAGGAAAACATCAAAACTGTTAATCACAGCTAGGAGTAGGCGACGTCCCTAAAATGACAATGTTTCAGGGTATTTCTGGTATAATCCCAACAAACAGTTCAATATGAGACAGACAGTCTGGTTCTTACCTCCTTTCTGTCTCTGCATACTGCGTTTTAATACAGACAACTAATTGGTTATGACTTACAGCTCTGATTCTGTCGCCAGATCACTGATCAAGCAGAAAATGATGATCGCAGGTCATAAATACTACATGTTGACCAGGCGGACAGAAATTCCCATCGAACTACCACGCTATTGGCAAGCCAACAGCAGAGGATGGCAAGCAACGGCTATGTTCACACCTTCTCGCTTTACACTTCAGTGCCAGTTAAATTATTCAGTGCTTCAAAGATTCAACAAGCAATACGAGGGCCGAAACGGTTCAAGGATGGATCGCCGTAGGCCGTCTGTGACCCAGTTTCAAACATGGAAGCTGCCTTGATTTATGTTGTTTTACCGTTTATTTTATAGATTAGCTAAATTTGTGTTAGCATATCGGGCTGCTAATCTGGCTAACAGGCTGGGCGATGTTGCGCGGATGCTGTAATTATAGATGGGACAGTCAAGAGAAACTGGGTGAACGTTAAGTCTCATTTCAAGCAAACTAAATAAAGGGTTTAGTAGGTTGGATGAGTGTGTGTTGTTTGTAAATGTATAGACAGATATGCCAAGAAGGTAACGGTACATTTATGTCTGAAAGACTACGTTCACACTGCAGGCCTAAATACTTAATTCCAATTTTTTCCCCAATATCCAATTTTTTTAATTAACATTTCACATTATAGTTTATATGTGGCCCAAATCAGACTGAAGTGTGAACTGACCACAGCTGAAAGCAACCCGCATGCTAAGAAGAATAAATAAAACGTCACACATGCTGTCGTACAAAAGTAAACAAAGGAGGGCACAGAGGTTAGCTCCGGTTAGCTCATACTTGCTAACCTTCCCGATTTTCACGCAAGACTCCCGTGTTTCATCGCCCTCTCCCGGTTTCCTCCTGGCCTCACATTTCTCCCAATTTATGACAAATGTTCGCAACAGTCTGTACTTTCCATAACATTCATTACTGTTTCTGGCGCTGTACAACACATCTGCCCCACAACTCTCTCTCTCTCTCTCTCTCTCTCTAATGTTTCGGACAGACAGCATGCACGTTACTGAGAAGATAACTCGCAATCCGGTAGATTTCAGGTGGAAGAAATGGAATTCGTGAGCAGATTATAGCAAGAACGCGGAGAAAGAGAGACACATTTTTAATAATGGCTTTTATGGAGCTTTTTCCTTCACCGTGGCTCCCTCTAGCGCAGAATTGTGACGAGGGCCACTCTAGAGTGACATCTAGAGTCGCATGAACTCCCATCTGAGTGTGCAGACTGAAGTCATTACTTACTGTGCAGTGCCGCACCAAATTACTTAAATCAATTAAATGTAAACTCATTTGCAAAAGCAAAACAAAAATAGCAATAATACTGTATACAGAGGCCACAATGTTGGGCCACAGAGGAAGTTACTTCACCATGACAGCCCTAATCACGCTGCTGTCTGACAAAGTACCCAGGACTTTCCAGGATCCAGTATAAGTGGATTATCCTGGTGAAATAACATATAATGAAATGAAGCGAAAACCAATATTGTTTCAAGTAAAAAGCAAAAGAAAGTTGGAGGAGACAGTCTCCGGCCATCATTGTTTTCCTCATCTACACTAAAACACAAGATCAGCATTTTAAGTTTCTTTCACTCAAGAGGCCATCTTTGAAAAGTACAGTGTTTTGAGAATGAAAAACACTTGCTGAGAGTGCATGGACAGCCGTAACGGAGAGAAGAAGATCTGTTTTCCAGATTCAGTTGGCTCAGTGTGGGCGTGTTCCTGTTCACTGCAGTGCTAGGATTATCATTGTCCACACAACACTGTGGATATACCACTGTCCTACTTCCCAGCACTGACCTACATCCACTCTCCAAAAAAAGCAGCAATTACATCACATTTGCTACCTGGATTGGCACATCCCAGCTCCTGCACCATGACCGCTTAGTCCGTCTGTACGACTTGTTCAGAGCAGAGCAGTTTAATAACTACTCTATCACAATTTTGCATAAAGGGGTATTATTTAGATTGTTTGCCCAAACACAATTTGCAAAAGTCACCATGGGTTTTTGATATATGTTGATTGGCATGTAAATAAGCATTAATTAAAGACACAACTTTGACGCATGTAATGCTAATTTCACAATACATTAATATTTGAGTAATTTCTCAAGAAAAAACACAAAAAATTCCAAATTCCTTTGGATTTTAGGCTGTTGGTCAGACAAAATACATGATATGAACACTATTATTTAATTGTCGAATGATTTCTGATGTTTCTTTGCATTTTTCACTATTTTCTGACACTTTGTGGACATTATGAATAGCAATTATTTAACAACGAAGCAAAGGACTAATAAAAGCCCAACCTTTGACACGTGTAATGCTAATTTTAGAGAATTATTCTTTTTATAGTTATTCTTTTGAGTCATTTCTCAAGAAAAAATGCCAAATATTCTGAATTAACAATAATTGTTTAACACAATAATTATAAATAGTGATAATTTAACAACAATATAAGCGTTATATAAGCATTGATTACAGCCGAATCCATGTAATGCTTATTTTACAACAGGTTAACAATTAAGTAATTTCTCAAGAAAAGTTGTCAAATATTCAGAATAGTTCAGAAAAGTTGTCAAATATTCAGAATACCTTTATATTTTAGATGCAGATTTAATTTTCTAACTAAATACTCGGCTAAATAATGTATCTCTAATAAAAACATCTGTTAGTTGCAGTCGTAGTTTATTCAATTAGGCGATAATGCTCTTCTTCCACACAGCTTTTATTCTGATGGCACCGTTACGACACTTCCGCCGTCACTTCGCTGCGCACTTGACGCTCCTCCAGCTAGCTAACCTGCTAGCAAAACCCTTAACAGAATTTTTCTCATTTCCTCACTAGCTAGCTTTGTTACCACATTCTATCCCACGCCACATATCGAAGTTCCGTTACATGATGGAAATGTGTCAATGTGTGAAAATGTGTCCGTTGAAAAAAAACCTGTAAATAAAACAATAATTTACAAACACTGTCATAAACAAACTGCCACAATCGGTTAGGATCTTTTTAATGTCACCGCTATGCTAACGGTCGCTAGCAGCAGGTTAGCCTGGAGAGCTAGTTATGAAGCCAACTGTACAGTCGAAGGAGGAGAAGCTGTTTTTACTAAATAAAGGTTAAGGTTAGATATTATCATTTTAATAAATGCACAACAGATTTTCTTACCATTTTGCCGCCGGGGGGTTGTTGCGCTTGCTAGGAGGGTGATTTAAAGCTCCGTTAGCGGGTCGACACGGTCGGATAAATACGACGTTTTCAACGAGCTTTGTGACTTTTAACGGTCAGGTAGCGACCACCGGCTGTCTGGCTGCACCGAGTCTGACAGCGGGGGAGAGATTCACTGCAGCGCCCGCAGATAGAGCCGCAGAGAGGGGGAGAGAGAGAGCAGAGAGAGAGAGCAGAGAGGGAGGCTGGTGGTGAGGAGAGAGAGGAGGAGGAGGAGGAGGAGGAGGAGGACTGAAAGGTGCTAAGCAAAGCTCGTCTATTGACAAGAGGAATCACTCTCGCACCCAGCCACTGATAGATGACTGAGCTACGGAAGAGGATTAGGGCCATATGTTAAAAATTTAATGTCTTTCATCTCAGAATTATTAAACTCAAAATTACAACATTAAATTTAAAATTACAACATTACTTTTTGTGACAATTTTATTTGAATTGTAAAAGTCAGAATTCGGAATTTAATCTCAGAATTCGGAATTTAATCTCAGAATTCAGACTTTAATCTCAGAATTTTTACACTCAAAATTCTCACATTTGCTGTTTCTCAATCTGCGTGCTTGTCTGTACTTGTGTTCTTGTGGACTTGTGATACGTCATCAGTCGCAGCCCAAGTACTGTTCCACTTCAAAAGTCTGCATCTAGCCATGTATAGTCAAATACCCGGATGTGTTCTCGCTCCACCCATTTTACTGAGCCTGCATCAGTGGCGACTTATAGTGCCAAATCCGTACCGCCTGCCAGATCCATTCTGCACATGCGCAAAAGTGGTTCTGTCAGTCAAAGAAGGTTGCCGCAAATCTACCTATTCAAAATTATCCAACTAAATCTTTAAAATCAAGATAACAAAATGTTTTTTAATCACTAGAGATTAAACTGTTCACTATGATGTAATAGGAATATACTTAAGATATAAAAAAACATATCAGTCCATGTATGGTTCATTATTTTGTTTCAAAACCAAATCGGAAAAACATCATCATTTCTTGGTTTTTCTGTTTTAAAGCCATAACTGAAAACAAAGGAGCTGCATTTTGTTCTGTCTTTGACTGGTGTTATATCCCTTCACCAGACTCATCACATATGGCATGGTCAAGGCCTATTGGTGTCTCTTTGTAACGCACTGGGGATCCCTATAGCGTCATAGTTCAACGCAGGGGGGGAAGCCCTGTAGCGTCAGTTTGTGACGGTAAAGGCAGGTATATGATATTTAACAGAAAAGACTGAGTAAGAACGTGGTTGGGGTGAATGGAGGGCCAGAACCAGGAGAATGGTGTTCGTGTGCAGTGTGAAACAAAAAGTCAATATTACATGTTTAAGCTATTTATTTTATTTTATAGCCTATGGGCTAAGGCTATTTCTTTTCAAGTCGCACCTCGTATCAACTATGGCGAATACGATTGTAGAGGTGAGCACTATAGGCCTATTATAGCCACATACGAAAAAAGAAAAATGAAACTGTCTCACACACACACTCCCGCCCCTGCCAAAGTTGAATTGACTTGAACTTTCTCTCGACGCACAGCACAAAAAGAAGATGTTTGAGAGACTGATCCTCTCTGTCTGTGACTTCCCTGAACAGTTATTGGGACATTAATGGGAGGGCGTTTGCATGACTAGATTTATCAGCTATGTGAATATGAATAATATATATATATAATATAGCCTATCAACTAACGTTACTTAAAGTTTTACTTTAAGCTAGGCTATGAAGGAATACAGTAGCGCACAGAAGCCGTTGCCATGGTTACTACCCACAGAGCGCCTTCTGTTTACTCACGGAGCGCTTGTCTCGGTGTCTGTTCACATGAGAAGCGCAGAGCAACTCCGAAGAGTGTTGCTTTCCGTGTGAAAAGACCTTCACGACTTTAATCTCAGAATTCTTAAACTCAAAATTCTGTCTTTAATCTCAGAATTCTTAAACTCAAAATTCTGTCTTTAATCTCAGAATTCTTAAACTCAAAATTCTGTCTTTAATCTCAGAATTCTGACTTTAATATCAGAATTTCAACTTTAATCTTAGAATTCTGACTTTCATCTCAGAAATCCAACTTTAATAAACTCAAAATTCTGTCTTTAATCTTAGAATTCTGTCTTTAATATCAGAATTCCAGCTGTAATCTTAGAATTCTTCAACTCAAAATTCTGACTTCAATCTCAGAATTCTTTCATCTTAGAATTCCAACTTTAAACTCAGAATTCTCTTTTTACACAAATTTTTACACAAACAAAACAAATGAAGAGTTGCTAATTTAAATGTATATTGAGTACTTTTATTTTAATACTTTACGTTAATTTTCCTTTTTATACTTACATACTTTTAAGTAACATTTTCAATGCAGTAATTTTACAGTGAGGTATTAGTACATTTACTTAAAGAAGGGATCTGAAAACTTCATTCTAACTTCAAACTATTATAGTCAATTCAGTTCAATTCAAATTAGCTTTATTGGCATGAATGTGTAACAACAATATTGTCTAGTGCAGTGGTTCTCAAAGTACTTTGAATCCAGTTGCCCACAAGAATTATGTTGCAGCCCTGTTTCACTGCGTCCGACTGCAGTGTGCTCGCCCAATACTGGACCAGTTTCAAAATACGTTGTCCCATTTAGTCACATAGACTTTGTTGAATTCCAGGATGAAAATTTAGAACTCACCCTTTAACTAGAAGCAAAAATTAAAGCCATTTCTGGTTCTTGGCCATTAATTAGCTCATTGTAATAATTACTGAAATTGCCAAACATGCTCTTAGCAGCCATTATCTCATCTGCTAAGCCTATAGGTGGTATTTTAATCAGGTTTATATGAAAATACATTGCTGGGTTTTATATTGGCCGTATAAGGGTTACAGTTACAGCTTCCAGTAGACTACAAGGAAGAGCCATTGTATAAAGTGCCTGCAGTAAAAATTTCTCCTCCTGATCCTTATTAAATATTGACTATGTGCCGACACCAAATCTAACAGACACCACTCATTGTATTTTCATGACAGCAGGATCCTGTTATCTACTAAAATAAGTGCTAAGCTAACCTGTCTTGCATAACAGAGTGCACTTACCCTACATTTAATCGTAGCAATACTGTGCACAAAATTTTGGATGTGAAGCACAATAAACTGCTTCTTGTGTTACACATACATTATAGTTTATGTGCTTGTAATATCTTTTTATTTAGTCTTTATGTGAGGTAATTATTAGCCACAGATAAATATAGTAGAGTGACATCAAAGTTATACAGTCATAGTAAGTGCATTTACTAAAGGACCATACTTGTAGTTGTACTTTTACTTGAGTATTTTTACGTTATATTTATTTAGCAGTTATAGTTTCTAGCTTTTAAAACATGATGAATTGGACTGAACTACTATGAGCTGCTCCTCTGCTCCAACTACAACAGTTAAATATATTACTACGTATTAATACATTTGTAATAATAATCTAATTAATTAATATGCAATAATAATAATTAAGTATTTTTACTGTTTTATTGCTACTTTTACTTCAGGAAAGGGTCCTCATACTAACTAAGCTGAGTTTATTTTGATAATAACTTCAAATGTTACTGTAAATTAGTATTGGTTCAGTATGGTGTTTTATTCACAAAGACACTTCATTCGCCTTAGTTCAATACATAACGAAACAGCAAGGTTTAGGCATGGAGATAACTTAATAAACCAAATAAAACAAAAAACAGATCAAATCTGGCAAAATGAATCCAGCCATGCACTTCAGGAGAAAACAGAGAAAGAAAAGAGGTGTTGCAGCACAAAGTGAAGCACTTGCAGCCTGTGATAAGCACCGTGTCTCAAAAAGACAGGACAAAACATCCCCTTATAATCTATATTTTTCTTATTTTCAACAAATCCCACAGATAGGCCAAAACCAGCAGTGAATATATCTCCTGTGTTTGTCTCACAGCCTGATATCGCCTCTTCCTCTGAGCCATAGAAAGTATTAAAACCCATCAATGAACACACGCATAGTTTATTCTGACTCCCACATACACCGTCCTGCTGCTCCAAATACTCATTGGATCTTCTGCGGGAACCAATGGGCTCGGTGCTGAAAGCCACAGAAAGAAGTCAGACAGTATTGAGAGACAGACGAACACATTGGTTTGTTTTGGTCTTTTCATGGGATTTGTTGAAATTTAGAAAAACACCAGCCTTATCCTTTAAAGGAAAACTCCATCATCATTAGGGTAGGGTATCAAGAACCGTTTCCAAGTTGGAACCGGTACCACATTTCCGTGGATTCATTAAGACCCGTGAGTTTGGATTCTGCTCCTCGGCTCCTAACTTCCTGCATATCTCAGCTCCTGACTGAACTGCAGTGAGCATTTACACTCCATCAAAGGAGCCGCTACGCCGACCTAACGTCACCTCATTTGTTAACAAAGCATGAAGAAGAGAGTCCTTCTGTTTCCAGTCCTGGACCGTGGCGGACCGCAGCAAACGCTCCAAAGTTTGGCTTAGCTTCACTAAAAGAGAGAAGGCCACAGCAGAATGCAGCAGCTGCAGTAAGGAGGTTTGGTGCGAGGCAGGAAGCAGCTCCAACATGACGAAGCGTTTACTTCAACACGGCGTGAATCTGAAGGAACGCACCGTGGTCTGACAGGATCTGTGCTGAGGAACCAGAACCCTGATTCAAGAAGAAGAATCTGAATCGGTTAAATTAAAACATTACCCAACCCTAACCATCATCCACTCACACTTACATGTCATATTGTCCATGAGGTTGGGTTCTTTCCTACAGAAATGAATTTGTTTCTTAACCTCACTCTGCAGTTCTGTCTCCGTTTACCTTTTCTTGAAATATTTCCACCTGTATGGTTTTTGAAGGTGAGTTTCAACATTGCATGGAATGATTGACCCGAACCCCAATGTTTCTTTATTTAGTTTAGATTGTTGAAACCTTTCATTCTGCCACCAAACTCACATTTTCTGCTGCTGGAAGTATCCGAACATGACGTCTCAGCATCTGAAATTGGCCAGTTTTCCACATGAAGAAGAGACATGGATCATTTAATTTAATGGAGGCAGAAACGTAACACTCCTTTACTGCTACCTGTTTGTTTAAACGGTGTTTACATGTTTTTCCATTAAATAGCACAATATACATTACAAAGTCAAAACTATTACAATGATCGACATCCTCTCATACACCGTCTCTCCTCTCGCACAGACTCACCACACAGTTAATAAATAAGGTAAAATACTTGTTCCATCCGCAGATGTCTTCCATCCTGGTCTTCAGCTAACACCATGCTAGCTGGGGAGCTTGGTCCCTCCCACCTTGTGCTGCAATATTTCTCATAACTTAAAGGCTTTTTTTACTCCACCTTAAAGCATAACTTACGCATTTTTCAACCTTGTCCCTATTTCCCCATGTTTTTAAGTCTATATGACTAATTAGGATAAAAATCTTTTGAAAGTGGTCCAATGCTGAGCAATCATGCTGCAGTCGGCAGCAGTGAAACAGGGCTACAACATAATGCTTATTACAAGTGTCTGACAAGATTCAAAGCCACCAAACTCCATTGACAAAACAATCATTTCACCTGGGAGTCTGGTCTGGAGCGACATAGCGACTGTTTCTGAATAGACAAAAAAGAACTAACTCTTAAAAAAAAGATCTCTCTCTGTAGGGATACTTTCCATAATGTTGTCAGACACTTATAATAACAATCTGAGCCTGTCAGCGGCGTAAAAAAGCTCTTTAGTGGACGTACTTTGATGGGGCGCAGCCATGTTTCACTGCTGGCGACTGCAGCGCGCTCACTCAATACTGGACCAATTTCAAAATGTCCCAGTTAGTCACATAGACACAAAAACGTGGGAAAATAAGGTCCAGGTTAAAAAATATAGACGTTACTACCCTTTAAAGGTACATTCTGGGGATATCTCTTGTTTATTTCTTATTTTCTGTAATGTTTTTTTTCCTCAGAGCGATGAAAAGACTGATATGAATTTCAAATGTGTGCATCCAGTGCAGAGATAGGTCCTGTGTTTAGCCTAGCTTAGCACAAACACTTGAAGCAGGGGGAAACTGCTGGCCTACCTCCATCAACAGTGAACAAATATACATTACAAATAAACTAAACGTTTGTCAGATTAAATGCTGTACTATGTTTTTCTCTATTTTTTAAAGACATTTTCAGGGCTTTTTAGCCTTTAATCATAGTAAGTTGGAGCTGACAGGAAATGTGGTAGAGAGGGAGCCGGTACGACATGCAGTAAAGACTCAAACCCGGGCCTGCTGTGACAAGGTCTAAGCCTTTGTACATGGAACATGCACACAAGCAATGAGCAATATTATATACCACTGAAGATTCATTCTGCTCCAGGGTAAGAGTTCATCAACAACTAGATTTGTGACTAGAATTGTGACATTGCGCAGACCTAGCACATTATTTCCAGTGGAGATGGGCGCAGAATTATTTCACACAGCTGTACAAGTCATTACGCTGCACAGGAACTTCTTCAGGATTTTACTGTTGGGTATTGAAGCCTAATGTTAAACTAAATATTCAATCCAAATAGTCCACAACCAACCACTGGGATTCTGGAATTGAGAGGAGGCAGTAGTTATGATGGCGCCTTGTAATCTAGAGAAGAGTGGAAGTAAATGTTGTGCATCCCCAAGTTCTGCAGCTCTACTTGGTGATCCTACTGAGACTGGAGTAAAGGAACATCATTAATTGATGTAAAATTTTGGAGAGGACGGGATAGAAGTAGGGCTGAACGATTAACCGTTTTCAAATCGAAATTGCGATTTAAAGAATGCTGAAGCTAATCGTGAAGCTAATCGTGAAGACAGCGATTAAAATGCAGGTTAATTATACAGGCCTCTGACCCGTTTTAAAACAGTCATGCAGTTACAGACAAATTTCTTAGTCATCCTTGTGTGACAGATCTACTCGCCAATCACAAGCGCCATGCGCCTCCTGTTACGGTCCTACTCACCAATCAGAGCAGGCACAGGGCGTGTACATTTTACAACAACAAACAAAACTGGAGGAAAACGTGGGAGAATGGCGCCACCCGAACACACACGGGCGGCGCTGTGCCGTGGTTTTGTCCGGCGTCATCTCAAACTGAAGTGTTTCAGCAGCGGAGCGTTTAGCCTGCACTTTGCTGACATGTTGTTAATATGTAAGTTTTTGTGTTTCAACTACAGATAACTGCTCTCTGTGAGCCGCTCCATCCCGCTCTGTGCACGGCTACATGGAGCACTTCAGAATAAGAGCGTTTTGCCTTCCTGATTTTGCTAATTTGTTCAGCTGTCCTTGATGTTTGTGCTTCTATCATGATGACTTCCTGCACGGTTCATCTGCTCTGTGCTGCTTGACGCGTGGGCAGAAGTTTTCTTCTGCTTCCAGTATTTGAGCTAAGCTAGGCTAAAAACATCCCGGACATGTGTTTGTACTCAACGCACTACAAGATAAAATGCATATAAAAATCTTCTCATCTGACTGTGGGTAAGATGGCATACAAGCTTATTTCACAAAATGCCCGCCTGTTCCTCTAACCCTGCTTTAAAGCTACACTCTGCATGCTTCTCTTGACGTTTGATCACTGAAAGGAAATCCCCACCCACACAGGCAGCGATGGATTGAAACTGAAGAGCAAAACACAGATACGTGAGCGCTCCCTTTGGAGGAAACTGCCCTTTAAAGCCTCAGATCTTTTCCTCGTTCTGTCCCTTTAGTTTCCTTTGATATAAAATATCATAAAACAGCCGAGTTGGCAAACATGAGCGCGCCGTGTGCAGTTAAATGACGTCACTGTGTAGGATATCTGAGTATTAATGCTTTTCAGACTGTTCCCTGTTGCTGGCATGTGAAGCTGCCAAAGAGCACCTTTGCTGAGTGCAGCTTTAAAACAAAAACCTTTAAAGACCATCATCGCAAACATCTATTTTCCCTCCCTGTTTTATAAAACAACACATATACCAGAGCCCAGCTGACTTGAAGCCCGCCTTTAAGATAAGGCTGTCCTTTTCTTGTGATGCCGATGTTCAAAGTAGTCCTGGTACAACTGATGTCCTCTGTTTGGTATTTGGTGTGCGGACGGTGGAAGGACGAGCCGACTCAGTTGAAGGCCTCCTTGTTGATCCACATGAGGGTCCGCGTCTCGTTGGGCTTGCATTCGTAATCGATGCTGCTGAATTTGTTGCCGAACTGGCAGTGCTCCCTCTTGTAGTAATTGTAGTATTTTGCCTGCCAGACCGTCTCAAACGTCCCGGCCTTGTTGAACTGGACACAAACAGAATCGTCATCACAAACACTGCAGCAAAAAGGCCACAACAGACACCTGATACCTGACAGAAGGTCACTGCGACACTGTCATCTCACCTCTATACTGACTTGGACGGGCTGCCGGTCTCCGCTCTTGGTGTGCGGGACGCCCTCGGTGTCGTACTGGCCGTGATAAACCACAGACTCCTCGTCCTTGGACTGCTGCTCCAGAGGGAAGACGATGCCTCCGATGTTCATGTTGCTGTGAGGAGGAAGTAGTTTCATACTTGATTAGTGTAGAGCTGGACAATAAAACAATAACAATAATTATCGCGGTATACTTTTTTTCAATAACAATATAACAAATGTTCAATAAATATTCAAAAAATATTTGATTTTATTCACTTCACGCAAGAATTAGGACTTCATTTTTTATTAAGATGTTTATTTTTTGGACTGAAAAAGGTTTTTACTTAATTTCACTCATATATGTGTTTGTTTTGAATGTTCTACCTCAGATTTGTGAAGTGATCCACTGTTTGGCATCAAGTGTTCTGACCATAAAGAAGTTTAAACCACAATTAAACATCAGGTTTCTTCAACTTTCACTGAGGAGCAAAAAATCAGCCTTTAAACTTGAAAGAAATAACAATTTGATACTTATCGCGATAATCGAAAGACAAGAAACTTTTTATTGTGGTAACATTTTTGGCCAAATCGTCCAGCCTTAGATTAAGGGGGTTTTACTGGATAGGACACCTGGATAGGACACCTGCAAGCACCTGCGAGCCTTGAGTGCTGATACTCTCAAAGGTTTCTCCTTGAGTTACTGTGGCTTGGATTGTACCTTCTTTCTACGTCATGTGATGTAATCACATTACATATTCATTTAGCTGCAGCTTTTATCCAAAGCGACTTACAAATGCTATACATGTCAGAGGTCGCACGCCTCTGGAGCAACTAGGGGTTAAGAGTCTTGCTCAGGGACACAATGGTGGATGGGTCACAGTGGGAATCGAACCCAGGTCTCCCACACCAAAGGCAAGCATCTTATCTATGCGCCATCACCACCTGTAATCTAAATGTAAACCCTTCTGTTCTTCTAAAGTAGCAGCTCTGTGTCCCATTTTTATTAACTCTTCTTAGCTGCTAATGTTCTACTAATAAGCCTGCATTGAGGTTTCAACTTGTTATGTTCAGATTTGGAGGGAGTCTGAACTATTGTTGGGTATCGAAAACCAGCTCCAAGTTGGAACCAGTACCACATTTCTAAGACCTGTGGATTCATGACTGAACTGCAGTGAGCATTTACACTCCATCAAAGGAGCCGCTACGCCGACCTAACGTCACCTCATTTGTTAACAAAGCATGAAGAAGAGAGTCCTTCTGTTTCCAGTCCTGGACCGTGGCGGACCGCAGCAAACGCTCCAAAGTTTGGCTTAGCTTCACTAAAAGAGAGAAGGCCACAGCAGAATGCAGCAGCTGCAGTAAGGAGGTTTGGTGCGAGGCAGGAAGCAGCTCCAACATGACGAAGCGTTTACTTCAACACGGCGTGAATCTGAAGGAACGCACCGTGTTGAACGTGCCGCGCTCTCCCAGCTACAATGACGCCCCAGATCCAGCTAACGCTAACAGTAGCAACGTCTCAGGTACAAAACACCTTTTATACTAAAGGGAAACCAGTGATGGCTACAAATGAGTCCCCAGAGACGCCCCTCTAGGACAGAGACTCCTTTCACTTTAGCCATGAAGGGGATGATGAGCAAGGAAGAGGATGAAGGTCACCGAGCGCTGACAGGATCTGCGCTGAAGGAACCAGACCCCTGATTCAGAAGAAGAATCTGAATCGATAAAACTTAAATGATACCCAACCCTACTCTGAACCCTCTGTTGTCTCACACTGTGGTCTGGCTGCTCATTTAAAGGATTTGTTGTCCGTCACTCTTGATGGAGCTGGAATAATGGAAAGTAGAGTAACTGTTCGTAAGTCATGTGCTTCGGAGGGTTTGTAAGCTGAACCTGCATCTGCTCCTGAATTAAACAGGTTTACAGAGGATTCACCCAGACTGGATTACCAAGTGGGCAAAGCGGGCACTGCCCCAGAGTCCCAGACCTCCTAGTGGCCCTTAAAGGATGCAGATTCACAGCATGACACTTGATTTTTGGTCATTTGGTTATTTAGTGCATTATGAACCACAATGGGACACAGTATTAATAATCTAATATAGTGGCCTGTCCTGTAGAGCGGCTCTGTATCCAAACATCATGTTATTTTAGTTTATATTCCGCTCATATGACTAATAATCATTCAGTAAGAGGCCCTTGTCCTGGAGCTCCCTTACCAGGTTTCTCCAGCACTGCTTTCTGCCCCGAGCCTCACAGAAACTAAAACCAATGATGCATTCAGTTGATTGTAGTCGACTCATGAAGGTCAGACAGTCAAAAAGGCTATTTTGTGTGTTTGTAAAGATTCTGAAAATAGTGAGAACCGCGGTCACAGTTACCCAGAGCCCAAAGTGACGCCTTCATCATGCTCCCTTCGTCTAACCAACCATACAAACCTCTACATTATTCTAAATAAATATCAACAATTAAAGGAAAAGCAGAATATCTTCATATTTGTTAAGCTGGAACCATTAAATGCTTTTAAATGAAAAAACGACTTAAACAATCAAAATAGAGAAATAGAAACTGCTGTACTTGTATAAACTGTTGGGAAGTTTAATTTATCACAAAACATATTTTATAAAGTAAGAGTAAAAAGTACAATATCTCCCTCTGAGATGTGGTGAAAAAGTAGAAAGTGACATGAAAAGAAAATACTCAAGTAAAGTACAAATACCTCTAGTTTGTACTTAAGTACAGTACTTGAGTAAATGTAGATGCTGTCCAGCACATATAATGTTTATGGAGTGGCTAAATATAATAATATGCTTTATTATTTAGGTGTGTAATGAAGAGTTGGGGGTCTAGGGTTGCACTAAACACTTAATTTCCTGCATTCCTGAGACATTCTGCACCAATTTATGGTGGAAATTCAGGTGGCAATTCAAAATATAAAGATGGAACAGAATATAATGCAGTAATCGATTTTAGTTTAAGTTACTTTATTTTGGACAATGCACATTTGTTTTGTTCTATGTTAAAATCACATTGCATGTTTTCTTATTGTTCAAATAAATCTTTTACATTGTTTTCATTTGTTATTTAACATTTAAACTATTTTTTAGAACATTTTTAACCAAATACTTTTTAAAAGTGGGGGAGACCTGTCCCCAGTGTAAATCACACATATGATCTTTGGTATTATAATCGCAAACGTTGAGTTTTATTTGACCTCTAACCCCCTCTTGCATTTAGTTTTGTCTTCGTTCTGGTGTCACCGGGTCTTGTTAGCTCGCACTTCTGATCCGACACGGGCTGTTTGTGTCTGGATGAACATTAGCAGACAAACGAAGCTTCCTGTCGCCACCAGCGATGAAAAACAACATCACACACGATCCTCTCATGATTTATTCAGGCGGATATCGGCCGCGGCAGGCCTGCAGGAGGAGGAGGAGGAGGAGGAGGAGGAAGGCCACAGAGCACAGCAGCATGCTCGGCTGTCGCTGCTTTATTTCTATTTTTACACGTTAGATCTAATAAGATTGATTTTATTATAAAACCTTTTTATTTCGCGGACTGATCGTGGGTAAAATGCTCTGTGTGGCCTCCTGCTGCAGATAAACCCAAATCTCTGACCCTGTGATGAAGAAAATAATCAAAATATCGATTTAAATTGCATTTCTTCTTACGTGGCCTCGACGTTTCCAGGCTTCAGCACCACCTCGATCTTGTATTTGGAGCCTGTGAGCAGCTTGATGGTCCTGTTCTGGCCGAACCGGGTCCCGTCCACCTTGAAGAACACGGGCCCTTCGTTGGGCTGGATCCGCAGGGAGATGGAGATGTTGATGATGGGAGGGACGTCGTCCATGATCCGGGTTTTGGGTTTTACGGGGTCACTTTTATTGGGTTCCGCAATGAGGGAGAAGACGGCGGATGATGCGGTGATGCTGAGGAGGGACCAGAGTCAAGCTGGACACTGCGGAGCTTCCGGTGACGTCTTTCAAAATAAAAGTGTGGGGGTTCAAAGTCATTTCATTGTCGGGCTGCCAATAATAGGCTACTGGATTAATCATCCGATTTCTCAGTTATTCGATCGTCGTGAAAAAATGCCAATTTTAATAGTTTCATCTAATAGTCTATTCTGTCAAATCAAATATATAAATTTTACTATTCCATTTGACAAACTGATATCCATTTAAAAAACTGGAAACCAGGGTTGGTTTTTAAAAAGTGACATAAACGACTGACTGATTATTGAAAGAGTTGCCAATTAACATTTTGTGCATTAAGATGAATCCATTGTTTGCAGAGCAAAGCTGCAATGATTGGTCAGTTCACTTAGAAGTCCATTGAAGAGAAAAAATGATTAAGCAACTATTTTCATAAATGATTACTCATTTTAAGTCATTTTTCAAGCAGATGCCAAACATTTGATGGTTTCAGCTATTAAAATGTGGGGATTTGATGCTTTTCTTTATATAACATTTTATAAATGTATTTGGGTTTTAGACTGTCGTGATTGGAGTTTCTTTTCCTTTTTATTTATTTTTAACCAATATTTGATGTTTTATAGATCAAACAATCAATTACTTGAAAATAAAACAAGTGCCAGACAATTTGATAAACAGGAAGAGATATTAATGTGTTGCAGTTCTCATAATAGTGCTATGTTGCAAACACAGAGACAACATGCAAACTCCACACAGAGGGGCCTGGGACAATCGACGTTTCATCCCAAGATCTTCTTGCTGTTAGGGTGCAGTGTTGTCCATTGGGCCACCGCCCTGCTAACACATAACATCATCCATATTGTATATTTACTTTGTTGTATTATCATACATTATTGTGAATTTATATCTTATATTTCGGATTCTTGACCTGCAGTACTTACTCTATGTTTATATTTGTTCTATTTTCTACCTGCTATGGTTTGTTGTTATGCACCTAAGCAAATTCCTTCTGTGTGTGAACCCAACTGGCACTAAAGCTGATTCTGATTATATTTGTGTTGAGCTCTGCTGTGGTATTTCTTCCAGCATAAAGAGACTTGTTTGGATGGACACAACAACAGAAACACTTTTAAATGTAACGCACTACAAAAAGCTCCTCCTCCACTAAATACAGCATCAGATACGCCAGGGAAACTAAACGAACTCCTCTCTGACACAGAAACTGCTTCATAATGACGAGGTTTATTGCATCTTAGCCGTATTTACAAAGAAATTTACAAAGAAACAGCTTAACTGCAACAGTTAATTTCAGCCAATTATATTAATATTTCATTTGTTTCATTTCTCCATGATCCTTTTTTTCTTAAAAAAGTTTAAAAAAAAATTTATGTACAATTGTATGTGTGTTTTCACATAAAACACAAAAGGTATAAAATATATATTAAAAATCAGACAGAAGTGCTCGAGGTGCTTTAGATAAAATACTAAATGTGGCAGCACATGCTGGCGTCCGTCATCTGTCCAGCTCGGCCTGCAGGATCTCTCCCCAGGTCTCGGCATCCAGCGGCGTCATCTTCCTGCCATTCAGCTCCTCGGCTGACCTCACGTGGCTGTAACGTCCTCTCAGCCAGTCTCGCTTCAAACAGCAGCGAGTGTAGTTCCTCACCAGCGTGACCTGCAGAGAGGAACCAGCACGAGGGCATTAAACAAGCTTTAACCTCTTCTCAGTCAAGTCAAATCAATTAATAAAATGCATCGACACAAATTCTTTGCATCGTTTAATCCATTTAACTATACATCACAGTGTTTCACACAGACATTTATTACTGTCGCACATCACACTTACACTGTGAACACGACGTGATTTGATGCCGCTGTTAGCAAAGTGGAGGAAGACAGAGAAAATAACGAGGGACGAAGAAGAAGGTGTCCAAAATATGGGATTATTTCAAGCTAAAGAAAACAACAACTCTGTAATTTTACCGTCCGTCCACCGTAAAACAAAACTTATGTTGCCTTGGCAACAGCACAACGGCGCCTAATCAGAAAGCAGCCGGTGTTCTGCCAGCGGACCACAGACAAGGTAACAGCAACAGCAACTTTAGCATTTTACTGAAATGCTGACTGATTGTTGAGTTGAAGCCAAAGTAAGCTGCAGTCCTCAGCTGAAAATGTGCACACGTGTGTTTGTTGTTCTCCTTTTTGGGCCGTGAGTTGGAACCTCACAGTCAGGAGTCGGGAGCTGCACCTTTTAACTCCCCTAAAGCTCTCTCTCTAGCTCAGACAATCCCTGCTACCTGCGTGTGCTAATCCATCCTTTCACCCAGATTTTTTGTCTTTATAATTGCTGTCTTCATAATAACAGACAACAGCTGTTTCGTGTGCAGGATCGCTCATTTCCCGTTTCACATTTCTTTTTTTTCTTTTTTTAGACCTGTCCTGCCCAGCAGCCTGGTATAGAGTATAATGACCTGGATATCATATTGTGCCAGTAAGATTTTACTTTAACAAGAGTGTTATTAATATACTCCTTTGTCTGTTTTGTTATTTATTTAATTATGTATTGAATTGTCACCGGGCCGGACAGGGGGGCAGACACGGGGATGCCCCCCAGGGGCATGGAAGGTGGGGACAACTGGGAATAGCAGAGGGAAACACCAATTGCAGAAAGCAACAAAACCTGCAACAGAACGGAGAGGGGGGCTTGGGGAGGAGAAAAACAACAACAGAAACAAACAAAAAAACAAACAAATAATAATAATAAAGACCCGGAAGACCCCGGCCCAACCAAAAGACACCTACACAAACTGGTCCCTCCAAGCCAACAAGGAAATGCCTCCCCCGGACTCCAATTCACAAACCAAACGCCCAGCAGCCATTCAGAGACCCTGCACAGGTAAGAAAAAAAACAATGCATCAAGATGCATCGACAATCGCCCTACAATCCCACCGCAGCCCTCTACACCGCAACCGGATCGACCCACACCGCGCCCAGATACCCCCACCCCAATAGCCAGGGCACCCCGTAACCCCCCAAAGTGCAAAGGACCCAAGACCACATGTCCGAATAGGGAGAACAGCAGAATGCCGTGCTCCCTGCCGCCAGGGAGCGATAATGTGGGAGAACAAGGCCGACAGTCCCCCAGCCCAGCCGGAGGCATCCCCCCCCAGAGTGCAGGCAGAGCCAGCACCCCCCGAGCCCCGTGAACCCAAGGCCCATTCTGTCCCTGGACGGGGGCCCAGCCCCCCCAGTCAACCACCCCCAAGAAAGAGGGCCAAAACCCACCCCAACAACACTGGCCATGTGCCCCAGGGACTCCCGAATGCCCCCCCCCGTGAGAGAGCCGGCAGGGGGAAGCAGCGGGAGCCCCACCCCTGCCGAGGAGGGCCCAGGCTTGGAGAGGAGACAATGGGCTCCCAGACCCAGGGACACACCACCCCCGTCCAGAAATGAGCAAAAGCCAGAAGCCCGAACCCCCAGACCCCCAGGTCCAGAGTAATTAAAATTGAGGGGTGGCCAGTGGGGGAGGAAGAAGGGCGAGGCCGCTCCACCAAATGCCCTGCAGCCTGCCCGCCCCCCAGAGTCCTAAGGGTGTATGTAGTGACACATAATAATAATAATAATAATACATTTTATTTATAATGCACTTTACATTTCAGGGAAATCTCAAAGTGCTACAGCAACAAGGGGTTAAAAACAGTTCCAGAAAATAACAATCGCAATAAAACACCGTAACAAAAGATTTAAAACCATGACTGTTAAAAGGCCTTTTGAAATAGAAAAGTCTTTAGGCCCTTCTTAAAAACCTCCAGAGTTTGTGGGGCCCTTAGGGGCTCTGGGAGGGCATTCCAGAGCCGTGGGGCGACTGCCTGGAAGGCCCTGTCTCCCATGGTGGAGAGTTTAGTCCTTGGTTGGTGGAGGCAGTGGGTAGAGGTGGAAGAGCGGAGGTTTCTTAAGGTGGTGAGTGGGGTGAGGAGTTCACTGAGGTAGGCAGGGGCAGTTCCATGTATGCACTGGTGGGTAAGGAGACAGATTTTATATTGAATTCTGTATTGAATGGGCAGCCAGTGGAGGGACACATGACCAAAGGGGGGAAGGTGAAGGAGGTCATAGGGAGGCTACAATGGTTCTCCTCACTGTGTCCAGATTCCTGACTGGCCCCATCATTCAGCCCCGTCCCCCACCCCCCTAAGCAGGAGGATGCCAGGTCCTGCATGTATGATGTGTCAACCTCTATACTAATGTCACTTAGGTCCACCAGCATGCAGATTGATGGGGAAACTGGGACGAGGTAACTTAGCCATATCGATAGGTCTTCACATATCTTCTGCCAGAACTTTTGAACAGGTGCATGTCATGAAAATTATATTCCTGGTGAGGGACTGAGCAAATAATTGAGTTACAACAAACCGTTGTCTTTGAAGAATTTATTTACCAAAAGAGAATAAACAGAGAAGTACTACAACACAAATCAGCTGGACCAGAGATTCTGTCTCCTAAGACAGTCACTAACGTCTGGCCCCGAGCAAAGGGATGCATCATCATTTACACAGTCTAGGTTTCTATGTTTTGGGGAACAGGGATCCTCCCTCAGCCTTGAATGAACATTCCAGGAGAGGAACAACAAGAGAGGGAAAGCACCAAAAACAATCTCACAGCTCTGACCTAAACCCTAGTAAATGTGGACAGACTAACATAAGTAGTATAGGAGAGGAAAGGTTAAGGATAAAACACAATACTTAATAATAATAATAATAATAGTAAAAGAATATACATAAAAGATTAAATGTAAGAGGACACAATTTTCTTCCATAACATAGCATAGCATGCATGTAACTATCAGATATGTTACCTGAGCAGTTCCGGCAAATGTTTGACTGCATAAGACCCATTCTGAACATCGTTTGTCCAGTATAGTGTGTTCTATGGAGAGTTTTATATTGTATGAGTTGTAGATTGATATTTTTGGTCATTCTAATGGTATTTAAACATATCTGCATCCAGAAGTTTTGGTCTGGACTAATGGATAGATCTGTCTCCCACTTTAAGAATGGGAGAGAGACTGAACTGTCTGTTTTTAACAGTAACATGTATACTTTTTGGAGGCTAGAAAGTCTTTTATCATTGGAGGTAGATCTAAGTCCATTATTTTATCCTTAAATCTTGCCTGAATTATGGATTCAAACTGTTGAAATTCCAGAAATCTATTATGGCTAATTCCATATTGTGCCACTAGATCCTGGAATGGAATAAAGTTACTGCCATGCATTACATGCTCTAGATGTCTTATCCCTTTGTCATACCACAGTGAGGAATTTAGTGTTTTATTTTTTTGCAGGATGTCAGGATTATTCCAGATTGGAGTAAGTTTGCATGGAATAGGTGAAGACCCAGATATTTTGAGAAATTCCCACCAAGCTGCCAGGGAAGTGCTGGAACTGATGAATGGCATATCGGACATTTAAATTTTCTTACAGAATGTCTGTTCTATGTCCATCCATGAGTGGTCCACGGGTCTTTGATTGATCCATTTTGAGATATATTGTAGTCTATTGGACAGGAAGTAATGATAAAAATTTGGCAGTTCTAAACCACCACAATCTTTTGCTTTTTGCAGAGTTTTTAAACTGATTCGTGGGGGTTTATTTTTCCACAGAAATTTTGAGATGTTTGAGTCCAATGATTCAAACCAAATAGCAGAGGGTTTGGTGGGTAACAACAGGTAATTGATTTTAGGTAGGACCATCAGTTTTATGGTGGCGGGTGGGGCTCCCGTCTTGTCCATCGTAAAGTTTGACTTCAGAAAGAGAAGTTTGTGATTTTAGGATGAAAAGTAATACATCATCTGCATAAAGGATTATCTTGTGGTGTATATTTTCTTTTTTAATTCCCTTAATATTATTATTTTGTCTGATAGCAGCTGCTAACAGTTCTATAAAAATGGCAAATAGCGAGGGAGAGAGTGGGCAACCCTGCCTGGTACCCATCTGAAGACTAAAGAATGGAGAAGTATGATCGTTTGTCCTGACAGAAGCTGTTGAGGAACTGTATAAGATTTTAATCCAATCTATGAAAGACTTTCCAAATCCAAATTGATAATTTATAATTTATTTAAAGTAGCGATTAGAAATTCCAATTTACTGTCAAATGCTTTCTCTGCATCTAAAGAAACAACTGTAGTTTCCAGGTTATAAATAGTGGCATAGTCTATTACGTTAAGTAGCCTGCATGTATTGTTGGTGGAGTGTCTGCCCTTAATAAATCCTGTTTGGTCAGAGTGTATTATACCAGGAATGACCTTCTCTAGCCTTCTTGCTAGGATTTTGCAGATGATTTTAAAATCTTTTTTTAATAAGTGATATTGGGTGATAACTGGACGGGAGCGTGGGATCTTTGTCTGGTTTAAGGAACATGCTGATATTAGCAGTTAATTGTTGGAGGCAACATGCAAGTACCCCTAATTTGAACAACCACCCTATAGAATGTGGGCGCGAGTATATATCTATATTCTGTAGCTCAGACAATCCCTGCTACCTGCATGTGCTAATCCAATCTTTCACCCAGATTCTTTGTTTTTATAATTGCTGTCTTTATAATGTTTTGTCCGTTTCACATTTCACGTGTTTTCTTGACAAAACGCGGTTTGGAGACCAGCGTCGGGTGACACAGCTGTTGTCAGCTCATGTAGTGTGTGACCCCCTGTCACTGATCAGTCACATAGTGTGAACGCCACAACGACTTCAAGACTCCCATCTCAAGATGGCAAGCTGTGTAGTGTGAGCGGCACGGCCATCGGCCGACACTGAAAGTCCAGTAGTCTGTACGAGCCTTAAGACCTTTTCACTTCTCAAGTCTTTCAAGGCCTCCAAGGTCACCTGACCTAAAACTGTCCAACTTGATCACCTCAACTGCTTTGCTTTAGCAAGACGCTTGTTTTACCATCAAACTTCAAGTCAAACTCTATGGCTGTGTGTGACAGTGTTTCCCACATTCAGACTTTACTTGGGCAGCCCGCCCAGGTATATTTGGTGACCCTTTTTTGCATTTTGCACAGAATCGGATTTATTGCCAAGTTGTTTTTACACATACCAGAAATTTGTAAACATAAACTTATGTAAATATAAAGATATCTAAAAAGTATGAGATTGACAGAATCATTCAAAACGTTAAAATGAGTGATTCACGAGTTTGGTAGTTAAAACACTCGTGCGAACACTCGTAAGAGCTGCTCAATGCTAAAATGTTCCTGCATGACGCCCGTTGTTTTGCAAGTCAAAAGTAACTTTAAAGGCCAGTTTTCACTTCTGCGTCAAGTGCCGTTGAAAGCATTTATAAATGTGCGTTGTTGTTTGCGTGGCTTTGCAATTACAACGCCAAAACGCTAGTAGGCCGTGGGCTTTCTATGTTCCACTGTGTAGAGCTTCTTCTTCTTCTTCTTCTTCACAGGTGTAGGCTGCTGTAACAATGGTGACTGAAACTGAGCAGATCATGTTGGAGTTGGAACTGAACAATGTTGATCAGCAGTTCATTTTAGTGTAATAACTTAAACGCAGAAACCAGAGAAGCCATCGGAGGAGATGGTGTGTCTGACCTTTGAACCGGTTGCCGCTACGTGTAATTACATTTTTTGGGAGGTGGTTTTTATACAGAAATATAAATTATTCTTATTAGTATAGTAAATTTAAATAATCAATGAATGCTTTTGTTTTTTGCGTGTCTTGGTTTGTTATTTCAGTTGCACTTTTAGCAATGTGCAGAGTTATATCCGCAGATCAGGTGGGTCTTTGTCATAAAAATCATCTTACTAATAGCAGGGGAGGGGGTGGAGGGCAAAATTGGATGAATCGTTTCCCCATTAAGAAAGACGCTGTGCGCATTTATGCACGGTACAGCAGCATAACGTCACTGATTATTTGAATCTCCCGACACTCTGACAGGATCAGTCAGGATGAACTGACAGCAGCCTCTCTGATCAGGAAAGTAATTCTTTAAAGCACAAACACAGTTCGCAAATGTATTAATTTTCTCAGTTGTTCTTAAGTGAACCCACCTTCCAGGAGAGGCCGTCCCTCCGGTCGCTGTCGACCTCCCTCTGGCAGACGGCTCTGACCAGCAGACACTGCCTCCTCCACAGCTGGCTGCTCTCTTCGATGAGGTGATGCCACAGCTTGCAGGTCAACGAGGCGCTGCACAGACTCTCTGCGTCCAGCTCGCCGAAGATCTTCATGCTGATTTCTGTCGGCAGCATTTCAGCAAAGTTTTGAGGCGAGGTGCTGCAGGTGGATGTCAGGGAGGGTCTTCTTTCACAGAGGAGAAACACTGACGAGGTCCTGGTGGGGTCATGCTGCATAGTAGCTCAGAGTCCAACAGTTTGAAACAGCCTGTGAAAACAGAGGGGTTAAGCATCTCAGAGCAAAGTCAAAGAAATAATTATATGATCTGTTTACTGCTACCTTTTGACCAAGAACCCTGAAACCACATGTGCTACAGGTACTCCACTAGAATCAGTCCTTTTGCAGGGTAATTTTCAGAGGCGATACAGCACATCTGATAACGGACCTTGGGAGTAAATATCCAGTAAGTAGAGAGGTTTCATCTAAAAATATATAGAGACACTATAATGTTTTGCGAGTCTGACACCATTGATCACATCTGAAGTTTTATTTCAGGTTCAGGATTAGCTTTGAGTATTACAGGAAGGAGGAAAACCCTATACAATTGTTAGTTTGTTTTGGAGGAGCTTGTGGAAAACTTATTTTTTTGCAGTATGCGCATTAAATTTTATATATGTTAACTTGGGCGGCTCAATTAATCTAATCGCACTTGCAATAGCAATGTCACACTGTGCGATTACTAAACCACAAAACGGTACTATTTAATTAAACAAAAAGGTGCACTATGTGTTTGACACGCTGGTCTCTGTGAGCGCTGCAGTCTGCTCACTATCCACGGCCACAATAGATATGAGAACTGAGAGTCAGCAGGTATGCCAAACAAAACAAAACAAATGTGTTTATGAGTGTTACCCCATCCCAATTATGCAAACATGTCTATTTTTAAAAGTTGTATTTTTTTTGTAATTCATTTAATTTGGCAAAATATTAAATTATTTTAAAAACAGTATTGTATACTGTTTTGAGTTTTTGTGTCTCTCCTTAAGCTCGTTTACACATTTAAAATATCAGTATTTTGCATGTTTTCCTTGATAAGAAGGCAAACAGACTATCAAAATCACAAATAATAAAAATAATTGCAATATGACAGTTTCTCCTAATCGTGACAGCCCTAACTTTAACATATTTTTCTGCCATAGAAGGAAACCCACTCTCCTCCCTTCAGTTGCAAATGTTTACAAGTTGTAAGCAGGGTTAAAATTTTTCTCCAGCCACCAGCCAAATGCTGGTAAAATATGGTATTGGGTGGTAGATTTACTTCTCTCACCTGTTTAAAAATGATGGTAATCTGTTGAATGGCTCGTACACTTTCAGCATGACCTAGCCATTGGCTGGTGGACAGTTCATTTTTCACCCAGGTTATAAGTATATTCTGGCCTTCTGCTATTTATACAAGCATATTAACTGCCTGTTTACTGACCAGTAAAAACATACTATTTTTGACCCTCACTATATTTTTTCATTGTAACGTTAGTAAAACATTCACACCAAGAGGCGCATCTGACATTTATTCATCAAAAGTAAACTCTATAAGGTATGATGTACTATCATTTTGCAGATATTTCAATAATTAGGACAGGGTCAAAATTCATCATGACAGGGATTTAATACATTTATTTTTTACAGCGCCAAACCTGCATTTAAACACGGCACTAACCACACAACTTATATAAATTATAAAATATTTATATCTAAAACAGAAGTTTCAGGCTTATGGACAAACTAGACAAAACCTCTGCATAAAAACAACTGAATTTTACCCATTTAAAAGGCCATTTAGCACAAAACAAATCACAGCAGGCTGTTTAAATTCGTATTACGTTTTCCTGTTGGGTTTGCGCATGGACCAAAACCTTAATTTCTTTATCAAAGTGTGAATCTCATTTAACAAAATCAGATTTTATTGTTGCAGAATTTCACGTCTCACCTCCGCCCCTGTTAGCGGTTAGCTAAGCTAACAAGCTAACAACACTCCGGCCTGTCACAGTTTTTAATCCACACCATTTATTAACATGAAAACACTGATCGTGAAATGTCTGCCGGCGTACAAGTCGATGTATGTGTGGTTTAAACAGCTGCTTCTCACCGGTGTTGTTGTCGCTTCGTGTCTTTCTGACAGCTGACTCTTTAAATGTCTCAACGGTTGTTTACGCACAGACGCGTCACCGTGTTTTTGATTGAAGTGCGCATGCGTACAATGGTCACATGCAATCAAAGCGTTAGTAAATAAAGGTACGGTGAAATATGTGACTATATTTTCTTTAAAAATATTATTCAGTTCGGCGACTGGCTGAACCAACAGTAGTAAATACTCTGCTTATTGTTAAATGCAAAAAACAACATTTTAAAACGTTTGATTCCTATTTTTATTCTCACTATTCTGTTCAATTTTGATAAACTGACGTCGTGCATTGTATATTTTTGAATGCCGAATTAAAGGTTGATATGTAATGATTCATAAACCGTGTTGAATGTGTTTATTTAATTATAAATAATTTGCAAATAAAGGACAACATTTTAAATAAATAGAAAATGTGAATGGAATTTGGTTACTGTGTGTCCTGAGAACTACTCAGTATATTTTATGAATTGATTATTTGATATTTGCAGCGCTTCTTCATTTCAGTGAATGGCTAAACCAAAAATAGTAAATACTCTGCTTATTGTTAAATGCAACAACACATTTTAAGGTGTATGAACTAAATAGTATGAACCACATAGTAAAGTTAGGTTTCAATTTTGATAAACTAAAGTCACTGTATATTTTTGTGTGCCGAATTAAAGAGTGATACCACTTATTTATAGACCGTTTTGCGAGATATTGATTTAATGACAAATAATTCGCAAATAAAGAACAACATTTTAAATCGAATAAAATCTGAATGGAATTCGGTGAATGTGTTTCCAGAAATCCACTAGCCACGCTTTAACTCCGTTCGTTCCAGCAGAGGCAACGTAGCAACAAGTCTGAACCAAATGAAAAAGTCATGCTCTGATTATGCCGAATTAAAGAGTGATATGTACTCATTCATAAACAATTTCTAGATTTATTTAATAAAGTATAAATAATTCGCCATTAAACTACAATATTTTAAATCGAAAAAAATCTGGGTGGAATTCGGTGAATGTGGGTCCACGCACGCTTTAATTCGCAGCAGCACGTCTACTGCGCATGCTCCTGCTGCCTCCCGGAAGTTTTGAAGTGTGTAGCTGATCCAGAAGTTGTAGGTGTTTTTGTCCTGCAGCTGTGAGTCTTAAGCCGAGACACAAATAATTCTGATCCAGTTGGCCACAGCAGGTAGGCAGAAGTGATAGTTTACTACTGGACGGCTCGGTGTGACCTTAACTGAGCTTCCGTTTCTCGCAGAATAACTTCTTGCCTCAGTCAGAGCTGAATGAAATAGTTTAACGAAGCTTTAAATCCTGAAACTATTTGATTCTCTTAATAAGTACAGTTTAGCTTCCATGACTCCCTGAACGGGATAGTAAAGGTTTGTATTGTTTTGTTTTCCACCAGTGACCCTGGGTGAAGCTCCCCTCAGGTCCCGCATGCTGAGCAGATGTCCCGCTTCGACCTGGTCCCGGTTGACGGTGGTGATCCTGTCCACCTCCCGCAGGGGGAGACTGTGCTGGGCAGGGGTCCTCTATTGGGAGTGAGTCCTCTTGTCTCTTAAATTAAGCTTAGTTTACTTTGATACTTACTCCAAATTATTTACTGGCTTATTTAACAGGGACAGTGGTGCACATTAATGTAGCTCACTGCTCTCTGTGCATTGTGTATAATGTCCCCGGTCTCCTCCAAGTTGCCATGCAATGTGAACTACATGCACGCCGATTTATCGACTGATATCTGCTTATTTATAAACCACCTTGAGATTTATTTGGTATACTAAAAAGTTTGCAAATTAGCAAGAACATTTTAAATTACAAAAATTCAGTATTGAATTTGGCCAATGTGTGGCTACAAATCTTCAGAAATATTTCATTGATCCCCAAGAGGAAATTCTATTGTTACAATTGCTCACTTTGCATGTCAAGATATTAAGGAATAGAAAGATAATGGAAAGTAGTTAAGTAGAAAATAAAATGAAATATATACACATCTAAAAGTCTGAATATATATATACAATTTAAATATAAAGGAGTATAGATGTGTACAGTAATTTTACAGTTCTAACAACTGTAATGATAAATAGTAGTAGTGAGTAAGATAGTAATAATGAGTGCGAAACTTTAACTTTAATAAACTGACATGCAGTAAAACCTGTATGATCCTGTTTCCCAGGATTTGTCTGGCCAATATGTCATGTACGTTGTTTTGTGTATTCCACTTACACACTCAGAAAAGACAAGTTCTGAGCTGCAGGTCTTCCACTGAACCACTGGAGGACTCCGTCACACTGGTAACAGGGAGCCAGCTGGTGGAACAGGAGGAGTAACTTGCTGTTAGGAAGAGCGTAGTGTTGATTTTAATAGAGCCACCAAAATGACAGATTCTCCAAAAGGTTATAGCTGCTTTTCTTTGTACACATGAGTTTCTGAAGTATCTCTTCTTCTTTACTTCCCCTGGTACCACATGCAAAGAGTGTTGTATAATATTCAAATTGTTCATTGAATTAAACAAATCAAGTGTTAATCTGGTTTTATTATGTTTTTTTTTTAACAAAATCCATGTGAAAATCAGGTTATAAATACACAGTTTCCTGCATGAATACTCTATCTCTTTGTCATCTTCCATCACCAAACTCATTAGGATTCATCCTCTGGGGACCACGAATATCCACAGCGAACGTCATCCAGGTGTTCAGTTCTTTAGATGCTTTATCCTGTGATGGAACAAATTATTGCTCATCATGTTGGAATAACCTGATGGTGGCAGCACATCTCTAACATTGTTAGGTTCATTATCTTTCATGCTCAGTGCACCATGAATGATCACTGAACATGGGAATCTGGTCTGTAGTTGTCAAGAGAGAGTGATCTCTATTTGAGGATCAAAGAAGAGACGTTTTGTTATTTTACCTAAAAGTGTATCTGAATCATTTTGTACTGAAGCTCTTCTCCTGTTCTGTTTTTCTTCCCCTTGTCTCAGGTCAGTGACAGGAGGGTGTCCAGACAGCACGGGCTGCTGGAGAACCTGAATGGACAGTTGCGTCTCAAATCGGTACGTCTTCCCCCGGGAGTGTATTTACGTCCACACCATTGCCATGTTTGACCCTCAACTTGCTGGTGACCATTTTCCAAAACTCAGTTTTTAAAGCCAAAATCTGTAACTTTTATGGGTTAAAATATCTTTATTAAATGTTGTGTGCAAGGCTCCCTGTCTGCGAGCTGCTAATCAGTCAAACTGCTCTTGGTGACAGATTTATAATACATACTGACGGTACACAGTATATATACATATATTTATATGTATTATAGAGTACAGTGGAGACCAGCTCTACATAAAATGTTCCCTGAGATAACTTATGTTCTGAATTAGCAAAATAGTTTTTTAAAAATATATTTGTCTCATAATGGCAAATTAATTTAGTTCAATCTATAAAAACTTTATTTAAAGAGCACTTAAGTGCTTTAAAGAAACGCAAAGAGAAAGATACAGCCCAGTGAATAATAAAGTACATGAGGGGTAAAATAAAACAAAAGTACAATAAGAAATAGCAAGAAATAAAACAATAAAACAATCAGGCAGCTCAATAAGACGACCAATCAATGTGCCATGAAGTTAATGTCAATGTTAATGAGGTTAGTGTTTATCAAATAGTTTCATTCCCACTGGTACTTCGTAAGCACAGCTCTGGAGTCTGGCCACCAACATTATTTCAATTACCTCTTATTACCATAGACTAGGGCTGGACGATACGGCCAAAAATGTTACCACGATAAAAAGTTTCATATCTTTCGATATCGATAAATATCACGATAAGTATCAAATAATTTTTTCTTTCAAGTTTAAAGGCTGATTTTTGCTGCTGAGTGAAAGTTGAAGAAACATGATGGTTAATTGTGGTTTAAACTTTTCTTTATGGTCAGCACTTGAGGCCAAACAGTGGATCACATCACAAATCTGAGGTAGAATGTCAAAACAATTATGATAAAATCAATCAATCAATCAAATATGCATGAGTGAAATTAAGTAAAAGCTTTTTCAGTCCTTTTTCGTGTTGATTCAAGTGAATAAATCAAACATTTATTGAATATTTATTGAACATTTGTTATATTGTTATTGAAAAAAAATTATATCGCGATAATTATTGTTATTGTTTTATTGTCCAGCCCTACCATAGACAGACGACGACAGTGTGCAGTTATTCAGGGTTCGTTGCCTGCCTGTGAAATTCAGCTTCATGTTTGAGAAATCCACAAGAGCGAACGTCACAAAAGTTACATTGACATCATGAGATCTCGCGCTGTGGGAGATCCAAAGCAGGATGAGTCGAAACTAGTAGTTTGTAGTATTACAACAGATGGCTGCCGACTGCAAACATCAAAGTCCTTATAGGCATAGGTGTCATTTACACTGGGGACGCTGGGGACATGTCCCCACCAATTTTTTGAAATGGCTCATTCTGTCCCCATCACTTTTTGAAAGCACTTGCTAAACGTTTTCTGCTTGCAACAAGAAATGTTAAATAACAAATAAAAATTCTATGAGAAAGGTTTACTTGCACAATAGGAAAACATTAAATGTAATGTAAATATAGAAGAAACAGCATTTTATTTGATTATATTTTTATAGCCTATTCTGAGTTGTCACCGGCCACATGAATTTTGTTTCCCTTTCATATAAATAGACATTTCCACCATAAGCTGGTGCAGGAAATTAGTTTGAGTTTAATGCTCAAAATCTTCTGGGGGAGGACTTCCAGACCCCCACTTCAAATACCGTATTTCATCAATGAATATTTCTTTTAAATAGAATTGGAGTATCTTGTTGTTTTGTTCTCGTGATTCCAATATTAGTACATTATCACGTGTTGTGGACACATCATTAATCTGAACCATCATATGTCCCCACCACTTTTCAACATAAAGTGACGCCCTTGCTTATCGGCCTGTCCCGCCACTCGGCAGCCATCTTGACAACGCCTCCAGGCAGTTATTTATCTGAATGAATGGGAAGAGAGCCAGAACTGCACTTTCACTGGTCACCAGTACGTAAACGCTACATGAATAGAATCAGCCCCTCAATACTCCTTAAAATGTCTCTGAAAACATGTAACAAACTACATTAAAGGTTAAGTGTGTAAGTTTTAGTGGCATCTAGTGGTGAGGGTTATGCATTACAACCAACTGCTCAGTCACCGCTCCCCCCTCCCTTTGCAAGTGTTTCGCTTTTGTGCTAATACGTGTGGTCATCTATTTGTCCAACTCTTTTTTTCTTACTTCTAATAAACCAGACAACTACTTCTCCTTCTTCTTCTTTGCATGTATTCAACCTAATGATGAAACTAGCTCTGTGGAGCAGTTTGGCTACTGTAGAAACATGGTGACATCCATGTAAGAGGACCGGCAGTTATGTAGACAGAAATGGCTCATTCTAATGTGATAAAAGCTTAACGGTTCATTATGTAAGGTCTTTATACACCACTGAAAACATAGTTATGGACATTATTTACATTTATTCATTTAGCTGACGCTTTTATCCAAAGCAACTTACAATTGCTCTACATGTCAGAGGTCACACGCCCCTGGAGCAACAAGGGGTTAAGTGTCTTCAGGGACACAATGGTGGATGTCATGGTGGGAATCGCACCCGGGTCTCCCACACCAAAGGCAATCATCTTATCTATGCGCCATCACCACCCCATTAGACTGAATTTCTGTCAATAGATCCTCCTAAATATTACAAACTGGACCTTTTAATTGTTCAGAGGAATTTTAAAATGCTGCACAATCTAATGCAAGAGCCCTGTAAGAAACTCTACCTCACAATGTTTTAGGCAGGTGTGAAAAAATGCTATAAAGGAAAATTGATTGCAAAAATAGACATGTTAATTGATTTATATTTATCAATTAACAAAATGAGGTGGTCACCTTTTTGGCTTCTAAACACAACTGAAACTCACTATAAATCTGAGAAGCTGCAGATTCAGACCCCAACACACTGTCACATTCTTTTAACATTGTCATTTAAAACAGTATTTTTACAAAAAAATATGAGTTATAGCCACTTTAAAGACTGAATTTGAATACTAAAAGATCATTACAAGCTTTTCCCACCGTTTTGAATAAAAAACAACCTGCCTGGAGTTAACTGTTCTTTTGTCTGTTGTTGTTTTGGTTTTTAGACCCACATGAACCCGTGCTTTCTTCTGTCGTCCCCGACCGACGACCCTCGACCTCTGAAGAAAGGTTCCTGGTGCCCTCTTCATCATGGAGACTTGTTCTCTCTGCTGCCGGGGCAGTTTATCTACAAGGTGGTGGCCGTGGGCGGAGAAGACCGCACTCCCAGGTACTTAGACGTTGGGGAAAAAAAACTGTAACCCTGTTTAAGCTGTGTGAGCTGAATCTAATTTAATGCAGTTTCCCCCCGACGTCTCCATGAATAATTAAATATAGACAGAAGAGGCTGCTCTCCACTGTTTAATTAAAGTCTTATCTTTTATCTCTACTGAGCAGACTGCGTGGGGTTGAATGGGGGTCCGGTTCAAGTGTTATCTGTTGACTCAATTAAAAGCCAACATAGGGGAGAATGTGGATTTATGTAGTCTTTGGGTTTGCTAATCTTTCATCTATGAGTTAGCCCTCCATTGTCCTGATGCGAGCTCTGTGTTTGAAGTTTAGATCAAACAGACGAGGAAAGGACACTCGAGCAAATGTTACCGCTGTTCAAACCAGCTGGAGCTCATGTAAAATTCATACAGACGCAGCATTAAGGTTTCACAAGTTTGGGTTTCTGACAATTTTCACATCATAATTTCTCCAAAGAGAGAGTTTTAAAAGGTGGACTTTAACCAAACTCTTCAGGCTGAATGTCATTTTGTCAAATTTCACTTCCCGTAGGAACAGTCAGGCGTTAGAAGAAGACAAAGAAGTTGCTGTTTCTCCCAGGCCAGAACCCCCCCCTGCTGTCGGACCGGAGCGTGGACAGACTCCCCCTCAGGAGGAGCCCATGCCTGCAGCTCGGTCAAACGCAGACAATCCCGACAGAAGTTTAAACCAGGTTTGCATTATCAGCTGTCGATGGCCAAGCTTGTGTTGACAGGAAGTTTTCATCATTTAGATATTTTGAAAGTGTTGATGGTAGGGTTTGGTGATATGACGTTATAAACAATGAGATATGTCAACAGTCATAGATTTTGCAGTGTTTTTCATGTATTTAATTCACTGTTTTACCATAAAACATACATTCCCATCTGGTGATTGGATCCATAAAGTGTTTCACTTTTTTTTTCCCAGATAGTTTCTTGTATCGCTCCGCTTGAACTGCCAAATAATTTCATCTCTTCATAGGAAAAATAAAAAAACATCTGTACAGTAGTTTCTTAAAGCTGTCCTAAAAGGTGTCGGTGCACATTTTAATGGATCAGTATTGACTAAAATAAGTTCAATTCATTTTTATTTATATAGCACCAATTCAGAACAGAAGCCATCTACTTTTCAAATAGAGCAGGTCTAGACTGTAGTCTTTGTAATATTATTTTCAGAGACCCAACAATTCCCCCTGTCAACCAGCACTTGGCCACAGTGGCAGGGAAAAACTCGCTTTTAACCATGAATCTGATCCTTTCTTTTAGCGATGGGCCGATTAATTGGTTGGCCAATAAATCGGGACGATATCTAGCATTTTGAGATAATAGGCATCGGCCAATACCTGCAGTCACAAGGCAACAATATATGATCCGAAATTTTCCCTTGCACCCACGGCAATTAATGCTGTAAAGTTGCACTTGAGCAAAGATCATTTGTGAGTGAAGAAGCTCCGCTCTGTAACACCGCTGTACAATCGCCATGTTTCTGTAGTTAGACATCAGCTGATCAGTGAATCAGAAATGTTTCCAGCAGCAGGCAGCTTTTTTCATCGAACAAGCTCTGATGAACCTGCTTTATACTGAGGACTGTCTTGTTGTCATGTAGGGAAACTCTGCACAACCGAAAGAAGTGGATGATGACCAAAGCAACGTCACCCTGTCTGCACCTGTGAGAAGAGTTTTACCTGCGTGGATGATGGCGGCTGCAGCGCACAGTTCTTCCCCCAGCCCGAAAGGTAGCGTGTTCATGTCTTAAAGAGGTCATATTATGCTCATTGTTTGAGGTCGCTCCGTTTTAGCTACCGAGTGAAGCATCTCACTTCTATTCGATCTTTGTTGGGAGTTGCACATGCGCAGTACATTTGTTAAGGACTGCTAGCCAATCAGAAGTAGAGTAGGGTGGGTCCTGACAAGCAAGGTAGTATGATCCAAAACAAAGCCGCTTCAGCTGGTATCCACAGACTTTGGGCTTTTTCACTTTACAAACCTGTTACATGCACAAAAAAGGTATATAACTCAATAAAGGAGAGGGGAAAAAGCTAAAAAGCTTCAGCTTACATTAACTGTGTCTGACTCGGGTCGGTTTCGGACAGAAATATGCGACCTACGCAGGGCTCTAATACACAGCAGACCAGAGAGGCTGTGGTGGAGACAGTGAAGAGAACCAGGTGAAATTACGACAGCTACGCTAGTTACTGTCTGTACGTGCAATAAAACCTTAGTGAGTGAAAAAACAATACTTTATCAATAAACCTGCTTAACAAATATAAACATGTAGAAAATGATATTTTAATCTGCAGCAGTGTTTTACACAAACCGCTAGCTCAGCAAATTCTTACAGACAAGCTAAAGTGAAAGCTGTCAGTCTGCAGCCTAACTGTTTGGCACATTGTTGTAAATGTAGCTGCTCCTCTCTCTGTTATTTTTTTTAAGTTATTTATTTGTAAAAAGTTATTTAACCTACTGAAGCTAGTAAAAACAGCAAACTATTCCAAAACCAAGAGAGCAGCACCCTGTTTTACATCGGTTATCTCAAATAATACACTCGTGTTCAACAGTGAGGCAAACGGATCAATGAAAATCACAGCTGCCCCAAGTGACAAGCAAACACACTGTTTAACCGCAGTCGCTGTCAATTGCCTTCACTCGATTGGAGGAATCCACCACCGGCCGCGCCAATCGTCACCGAGCCCAGCTGGACTTCATCCAGTCCAATCCTCGGCGGGCAATCCTGCAGCTCATTAGAGTACAGCAACCTGTACACCTTGACTCAGAACATAGTCGGATACCAATACACAGGGGCCGTAACAATTCAATTCTAGTCCTGTTCTCAAGTTAAAGACTACCAGGCAGAGAAAATATGCACACTTTAGTATTTATTTATTACAAGTCATATCATCAATGTTCGCACAATGCAGATTTTCCTCATATCCTGCCGGCCTACTATATTAAATTCCCTTTTTTGTGGGTCAGTTTTGAAGCCAGAAAATATATTTTCCCATGATGCTAATATAGGACTGTTTTAAAACACGTGCTGTGGTACATTTTCGGTTCCTGTCCTGCACTCAGAACTAATCCACCAAGTGTCTGCTGAAGGACAGAGTGTGTTTTCAATGATGTTGTCCAGGTCCTGCAGGGAGTCGGAGCGCCACCTGAACGCCGCAGACCTTTGTTGACTTTAAATTGCAGCTGATGTCTGAGGGCGTCTGTTATTTAGATGGAAAAGATGAACAGGTTGACTGCTGTGATATTTCCTGACGTGACGTTAACAAGATAATGAATGGAAGTATAACCCTGCGCTTTAACCTTTCTCTGCGTACCAGGATGTTCTTTGATAATTACAGCAGATAAATGGAGACAAAGTGTGTGTTTCTGACAGTATTAAACAGCCACTGTTTCCCCTGAGTGCTGCCGCTTCTCTAATGTTTACTCTGAAGGAAAGCAGACAGCTCTGCTCTGCTCAGGCTTTTTATTACTGCTTCATCACTCCGTCCATCCGCTCACTTAAGAGCTGCGTTTAACTGGGCAGAGTGGACGGATGGAAGAGTTCCAGTTTCCTAAAGAGAAACTTGTGATGCTCTCGGTGTCGTCTTAACTTTCAGGAGAAGGAACCGCTTCTGAGCTACAGATATAAGTAATATATCTGGATAAATTGGTGGAATGTAAAGTCCTTTTTCTCAAGAACAAGTTAGAGACATTTGAGGTATTTTGAGATACTTAAAACTTCTGCTCCAAACTGGACTTGCCTGATGTGGTCGTATTAATTCTTGAGGAGATGCTTTTGGTTTGTCCACCAGAGAGAACTGACAAATTTATCTTTACACTGTAAAATGTCCCACTCTGTACTTTACACTGTATGTATATCTGTAAAAGTTTTAATATGAACCAGATTTTTACAATTTTAATATCGTTATCAGCCTCATAACATCGGGCATCAGCCGGACTGCAGTTCCTCTGAATGTTTCTCTCTCTGCTTTAGTTCAGTCAGCTGTGAGGAGAAGTAAAGCACCTGCAGCGGCAGCCACCGGCACTAAACGAGCAGCAGCCAAGAAGGCGGCGCCCACCAAGACTTCCTCGTCTGAGGAGGCGGAGCTCAGCCAGGAGATCCCCAAGAGGAAGAGAAGAGATGAAGCAGCAGCAGCAGCTCAGTCTCAAATAGTTGAGTGCAACTCAGTGGCTGTTGTGTTTTGACTGGGGGTTGTTGTTTTTTTCAGGATTTCAGGTTTTGCCTCCTTTCGGTCGTACCTCTAAATCAGAATCCCTCCAGGTTTTTGCAGGCCTTTTTTGTTGATGTTGCCTAAAATGCCTGATTTTGCGGCAGCTTTTCTAAAACATTTTGGTGAAAGTTGAGATGTTCTTGGGCATTTTTTGCAATGAAATTGTGGGAATAAGTGAAAACTGAAAGATAGATGTGATTTTTGTAAACATTAGAATTACAGTTGAATAATAAGACCTGATACTTTGAAAAAACACATGCAGTTCAGTGTCATGCAAAGACTCGGCTACTCGTGTCACTCTGTGATAAACTACATTAACCTCTAACCCTGCAGATTTAAACCAGCTGACCGAATTGCAGCAGCCTGTGTCTCAGTGATTTGTCTTGTCTGACGTCCTCCATGTGTTTCTGACATTCTCTCTCAAAGTGTTTGTCAGTAGATGATTTCCTTTATGTTCGACCACGATACTGCACGTTCTGCAGAACACTTTCCCTGTTTTGGTAAAGGAGATCTGGGTCCTGGTCTTTTTTTTTTGTAGGTAAATGTTAGATGTTGGTATTACATGTCTGCTGCGTCTTCTAAACAAGGAAGTGAGTTTTCTGACATATGGCGATTAAATGTCTAATTTGCAGATAAGTTGCAGTGATTGGTCAAAATTGCAGGGATTTGTTAAATTTGTGTTAATAGTTTTGATCGTGAAGAAATCCTGAAGGGACTGGTAAATTAGTAGGGCTGTAAAAGTTCTGCCTTTACAGACTAGTTGAACTGAAATGAACCCCTATTTGTTTTGTCTGTTTCTGGCGGTTTCGTTGACTCTCAGGATTTTCCTTCAGAGCGGCCAACAGTTCGGCTACAGAGTGAATCCAACAGGTCTGAGCTGAGCGACGAGTCCGAGAGCTTCCCTGTGGAGGCGGACGAGGAAGAACGAGAAGGAGAGACATGGACAGCTGACACAAACACCATGACACGGACGACGCATGCAGTCGGTCAACCGGAGAACGACGACAAGACGTCGAAAAACGGACGACAAATGACCAAACGGGCGGAGTCTGTCGGGTCAAACAGTGGCCCCTCGTCCAGACCCGCTCCGTCCAAACCTCGACTCAGAGCGCCGTGTCCGTACGGAAAGGACTGCTACAGGTACGTTTGTCTCAGGTTGAGCTTCTTTAGAGCAAAATAAAGAAAGCATGTCTGGGATTTTATTTCTAAGTCCTGCCAGAAGACTTTACTTTGATGTGACTCATTTTCCAACAGAGATGAGATGAAGTGCACTTGAGCTGATGAACATGAAGCGAGCCAAAAACAGTTTTTCCTTATCAGAATCGAGGGTCTAAAGACAGACTGTGTCGTATGCTGTACAGCTTGTAAAGCACCGTGATGCAAATGATTTGTGATACTGGAATATATAAATAAATTTTACTGGACTTGAAAGGTTTTCTTATACACAAACCACAAAGTGGGGCTGCAGTGGAGAAGAGCATCACGGCACACTGATTCTTCCTATTGAATCAGGGGTCTGGTTCCTTCAGCACAGATCCTGTCAGCGCTCGGTGACCTTCATCCTCTTCCTTGCTCATCATCCCCTTCATGGCTAAAGTGAAAGGAGTCTCTGTCCTAGAGGGGCGTCTCTGGGGACTCATTTGTAGCCATCACTGGTTTCCCTTCAGTATAAAAGGTGTTTTGTACCTGAGACGTTGCTACTGTTAGCGTTAGCTGGATCTGGGGCGTCATTGTAGCTGGGAGAGCGCGGCACGTTCAACACGGTGCGTTCCTTCAGATTCACGCCGTGTTGAATAAACGCTTCGTCATGTTGGAGCTGCTTCCTGCCTCGCACCAAACCTCCTTACTGCAGCTGCTGCATTCTGCTGTGGCCTTCTCTCTTTTAGTGAAGCTAAGCCAAACTGTGGAGCGTTTGCTGCGGTCCGCCACGGTCCAGGACTGGAAACAGAAGGACTCTCTTCTTCATGCTTTGTTAACAAATGAGGTGACGTTAGGTCGGCGTAGCGGCTCCTTTGATGGAGTGTAAATGCTCACTGCAGTTCAGTCAGGAGCTGAGATATGCAGGAAGTTAGGAGCCGAGGAGCAGAATCCAGACGCACGGGTCTTAATGAATCCACAGATCTTGGAAATGTGGTACTGCTGCCAACTTGGAACTGATTCTTGATAACCAACACTACTGGAGGTTGGAGAGACACAAAAATGTTTCATTTCTATTTTACCATGTCCCAGCAGACGGACGAGCATGTCAGATTTTCTCCCTCCTTCCACGTTCTAGGACATAATTCACTGTTTGGGACTTTTACCAATAGTAGCATAGAGTGCTCTGTAACTCTAAACCTGGTGAAAGACAAGCGATGTTGTTGTTGCTGTGAGGTGGAACTGTGAAACACAAGGAAGGTCACAGTGGCCTATTCTTTCTTTTTTTGTTGTCTTTTCAACACAAGACACTTCAGACACCATAGTTTGTTTACATTCATAAATGTTTGTGAAAGACGGTATAGCGGCTGTAAAAACAACGCAAAACAAAATTTGCAGCCTCGAGGGACTAAACACAGAGAGACTGAAAACACTGTGACGCGCAAAAAATAAGTTCCACTCAACGATCTGTCAGTCAACAGAAAGTGTTCTCTCCCAGGCTCACCCCCTCTCTCTGTCAAAGCCCAAAGAAAAACAGGTGAACAGGTGAAGCAAAAAGATAGACCACTATCACTTCCACCCATAACCCTGGTGGACACGCCCACCACCTACAATCTGAGTGCAGTGAATAATATGGATGAGACCATAAACATAGAACACATGGGAGACTTACAGGTGGCCCCTACAGATGGTAAGCTGTGATCAGTCAGGGGCAACGTGTTTTTATCTGCAGGTCTAAACTTTTCTTTTCCTTTAGGTGGCTGGTTGTTGCGGGGGTTTTGTTTCACAGCAACTAGGAAATAAACATGTAGTGTTCTGTTGCCACCTCGAATTCGTAATAACGCAGTAGCATGAAAAGTGTATCATTGTGCTAATATTGGTGTTTACCTTGAAAACATTGACTACAGACGACTACTTTAAATGGACGTTCTGCATACAGTCGTATATCTACAAAGTGCTAATTGCTTCATTTCAATGTGATGAAGTCTAAATGTCAAAACGTCACTTACTGTAATTTTTGTTCTTGTGGTTTGTTGTTTTTCACCTCCATGAAACAGTTCTTAATATCCAGATATGTTAAACTTGTAAAATGCACGCTGGTATTCCATCTTGTTTTGTAGGCGACCTGTTTGACTTGACTTCCTCATAACATGTTGCTAAAATTTCTTTATTTCACTTGATTCAGTATATAACTCTATGTAACTCTAAAAGAACAGTTGATCCCAGCCCGGCTCCTGGGGTTTCAACGGTCCTGAACAGAACACGGTTTGGTCCTTTAAAATGTACATAATGGCAAATGCTCTGTATTTGAACAACACCTTTCTAGTCTTTGCGACCACATTCATACACTGATGGCTGCTCATCAGAACGGAAATTACGTTCCCACCCCAATGGACCAGCCGCCAGGATCTATTTGGGGTTCAGTGTCTTCCCCGAGGACACTTTGACATGCAGACTTGGGGAGCTGGGGATCGACCCAAACACAAGGGAACTGTTTATTAGTCTATTATTATTTAGTCTCTGACATGTTTCTCCTCCAGCAGACTGAAGCCCTCTCATCACCTCCCTGTTTGATTGTTTTGCAGAAAGAACCCGGTCCACTTCCAGGAGTGCAGCCACCCCGGCGACACCGACTACGAAGAGGAGGACGAGGAGGAGGAGGAGGAGGCAGACCTACCTGAGTGCCCCTATGGTACCGACTGCTACAGGTCGGACATCGGAGCACATCCATTATTACCAGCAGAGTGACTGAAAGGCATGATGGGAAATCTGAGGAAGCTAACATTAATGGAGATGAGATGGCAAAACGTTTCTGAAACATATTTTGGTAGCAGATTTTTCCATCAATCAGGAGAACACACAGATAAATTGACATTACAGGTTGTTGAATAAGACATTTAAACAGTAATTAGTGGGGCAGCCTCATGGATGTATTATTAGAAATGGATCCTGGGCGCAAAGATGGTGTTTATTCAAAGAAAGCCCAATGAGAATTGCTCGACTGCAGCGTTCCCTTTTCTCTCCACGAGGACATTTTTACAAATGCAAAACCTTTATGGATGAAAGTTACATAATAGAAAGAGTCATAATTGACCTTGTTTGCAGTTTTACAGACATCTCTTGTCTCTTTTATAATGTGCCCTGTGTGGAAAAACGTTTTGGGCAGCATGGTTTCTTTTTTTTTTGCTGTGATGAGTGGCCATTGAGAAAAATTGGAACAAGGCTGAGCAGCGACTCCAAATCCAGGTCTTACTGGTCCAAAGCAAAATACTGTGACAGCTGGGGGAGAGTTAGATGAGAAGCTTGATGCAAAAACACTTTATTCTAAAAATAAGCTTCAACAAACTACAGCGTGTGCATGGCTACACGGCCAAAAACACAGTTCTCCCAACTCCCAACTGTCCTGGTGAGCTCACCTACGTAAATGCCATCCAGTGTTCAAAAAGAATTCCACAAACTAAACTAATAATTCATACATGCATACTGGCTGTAAGAGACTGCTCTTTTATAAAAGTTTATTTATTTTATAATGTTAGCGAGGTGCTCTGTATTTCAGCCAACAAGGCCCGTCTCCGCTCTAATACACTGTGTGAAACCCTGACACGTCCAGATTACTATGAAATCTGCTGTGAATTGTCTGCAGTTGCTGAACTTCTGGATGGATATCCCATGAGCACCCATCCAAGGCCAAAAGGTTAACTTTTAACAAAAGATGTCACAGAGCTGGAGTCCTGTAGAATTTTAATTTATTCATGTTCCCCAGAGGATGAACTGACATTCAGGCCTCTTTGACATTTCATCTAGAACCCTTTACATTTTAACGACCTCTCCTCTGGTGCCACCCTCATACTATGACTGCAGCCTTTAGTAGCCTCCAGTGTGAGTCTTGAGTTCCTGTGTCAGACTGAAAGTGATTTTAATCCTGTTTATTGATCTCTGTTTAATTCAACTTGACAGTGACTTTTATTTTTTATCCCACACAGGAAAAATCCTCTTCACAGGAAAGAATACAAACACACAAAGACACCAGGTAGGCACTTATTGTTTTTTGATTTTTAATTTTAAATAAGGGTGAGATCAGTAAAATTCAGCGTGTAGCATCAACACTAAGGATGCAGTAAACATAATTCCAGCATTAAATGTTCAGGGCTACTGTCTGTATTACTTTAAAAATTTGTTTTTAATTAAAGTAAATGGGGTCTGCTCTCAACAAATATAATACATTTTATTATGAAATAAATTTCATATCAGGTAACAGAAGCTTCGTTCAAATGAAAACTTCATTAACTCAGGCCCATTATTCAAATGTGTTACAGCCTTTTTAAACTGGTTTAATTATTAAACATATACATTTTTCACTAATTATTAATAAGTAATAATTTTCTAATAAATTTTTCATTGAGATTCAAGGTTTTGGGCTCTTTTGCTTGCATAACATGTCTTCTTTCAGAATAGTAGAAAGAAAACACTTTTTACTACAGTTAGTCTATTTGTGTCTGTAGATTTCCCCTAAATTCACCAGAAGTTACGGTTTAATAATGCTTCATTAACATATTACAATATGATAGTGTAACTAGTTAGTAAGAAATGAATCTGATAATTATTAGTAAGTAAAATCTCAAATAGGAGAACTGTTTAGATGATAAAGGTGAGTTACCAGAGAACAGAATAAGACATACTGTGTTAATGGATCATTACATAATGATTAGGTCATACATACCTCTGAATCGAATGAACATTAATAGTTACTGAGTCACTGTGAATCAACAAAACAAATACAAAACATTAATTACTCATTAATTAATTAGTAGTTACTGTTCTTGTGCCATTTTATAGTCCTGCCATACTATAATAACAAAACATTATAGATTAATAATGTGGTGCTATGTGCTACACATCCTCGTACCTAACCGACAAAATAGGTCAATTGATCCAAAACGACATATATGCCCGTTCCCATATAACTGTTGTAATGTGTGTCACATTGATCTGCAGTATGTTGAGCTTACAGAAGGATTTACTGGGCTGATAAACCGTCGGTGTCACAAAATGTTGGAAAAGTGAAATCAAAATGAGTTTCCGTCTCTGAACGGTTTTGGCAACAGATCTACCTCAACCTGAGAAGGAACAGAAGCACCTACCTGTCACCAGAACTGGTCTGATTCCTCACAGCAGCATGTTCATTTTGATCACCTCAGCTGACATTTAGTTGACACTAAATTTATGCGGCGCCGCTCGTCACAGTTGTTTTCTGATTAAAGGCGCTGAGTGTCGCCTCCACCGTGTTTATACTGACAGCACAGAAATAATGGAGCACAGTGTTTCATCATCACGCTCTTTATTTCTTCTACACCGATGCTCATTTACTGGATTTATTATTATTAATATCATTTGATATTTAGTGAGATCTCGACTGAATTATGATTCTTTTATTTAAAAAAATGTAAAACTAGAAGGCAGTTAAAGGTAGTGAGGCTGCACAATTATCATTTTGATGTATGGATGATTGGATTGATAGATGATGGAGGATGGATGGTTTGATGGATGGAGGATGGATGGTTTGATGGATGGAGGATGGATAGTTTGATGGATGGTTTGATGGATGGAGGATGGATAGTTTGAAGGATGGATGGATGGATGGATGGTTTGATGGATGGAGGATGGATGGTTTGATGGATGGATGGATGGATGGATGGATGGTTTGATGGATGGAGGATGGATGGTTTGATGGATGGTTTGATGGATGGAGGATGGATGGTTTGATGGATGGTTTGATGGATGGAGGATGGATAGTTTGAAGGATGGATGGATGGATGGATGGTTTGATGGATGGAGGATGGATAGTTGGATGGATGGATGGATGGTTTGATGGATGGAGGATGGATAGTTTGAAGGATGGATGGATGGATGGATGGTTTGATGGATGGAGGATGGATAGTTGGATGGATGGATGGATGGTTTGATGGATGGAGGATGGATAGTTTGAAGGATGGATGGATGGATGGATGGTTTGATGGATGGAGGATGGATAGTTGGATGGATGGATGGATGGTTTGATGGATGGAGGATGGATAGTTTGATGGATGGTTTGAAGGATGGATGGATGGATGGTTTGATGGATGAATGGATGGTTTGATGGATGAATGGATGGTTTGACGGATGGATGGATGGTTTGATGGATGAATGGATGGTTTGATGGATGGAGGATGGATGGATGGATGGATGGATGGATGGATGGTTTGATGGATGGATGGATGATGGATGGATGGATGGTTTGATGGATGGAGGATGGTTTGATGGAGGATGGATGGATGAATGGATGGTTGGATGGATGGATGGTTGGATGGATAGAGGATGGTTTGATGGATGGATGGTTGGATGGATGGAGGATGGTTGGATGGATGGATGGAGGATGGATGGATGGTTTGATGGATGGAGGATGGATGGATGGTTTGATGGCTGGAAGGCAGTTAAAGGTAGTAAACGTGCAGAGGCTTCACAATCCTCATTTGGATGGATGGAGGATGAGCAGCGGTCAACAGATGCACTTGTTCATCAGTGGGACTTACAATAAAAGTGAATCTTTTATCAAACACTAAACTGTTTTTAATTCAGATGTTTCACAGTTGTTACTGGACTGGATAACTGGGCCAAAAGTCCAAAGAAGCAGCGCTCTTGAACAACTTGAATCTGTCATACACTCATATTAGAAACACAAACTTTAACTTTACCTTCAGAAAAAAAACCTTTATCCTCCAAATGGATTCAAAGGGCCACCAGTACACACCACAATTCCCCGTTCCAAGCAAAAGTACAAGGGCATGAGCAGTAAAATGAAAAAAATGCCAATACCAAAAATGAAAGTACTGATTATGCAGATTGGCCCCTTTTCTGAATAATATATATTATAATACTGGATTATCACTACTTTAATGTTGCAGCTGGTAACAGTTCATTTTAGTGAAGTTCGTAATTTTTTGACTGTATTATGTATTATTGATCTGAATCTGCAAAGTAACTAAAGCTTTAAAATATTTGCACAGCAACAGGTAAAAAGGGTTCATGTTTCATGTGGTAATCCATTCAGAAGTTGTTGAGATATTTCTAGTAGTAGTATAATAATCACATTGGAAACTATCTAGTTACTATAAGTAACTCCTTGGTAAAATCTTTAGCCCTGACTTTTTCTACATGTCTTCGAGGTATCATGCTGCCTAAAGAACAAACAAAAACATGCTGCACAGTGACACAGCAGCAATTATTCTAAAACGGAAATGTCTAACTTCCTCTTTTGTCTCTTATTTGCTCCTTTTTACAAGTAGAAAATTAAAGCAGCTCATTAAAGATCTAATGAAGTACGAGCAGAACCGCTGATTTTAAAATACTCTCACATCTTTTCCACAGAGCTTGGTGTTTTAAGCCGTTTGTGTCATCTCCTTCTGTGACTCACTCTGGATTATAACGCCATGTGAAACCTGCTTTTTACAGCCGCCGCTAAACGCACCGTCCGCAAGAAGCCCCCGGCTGATGACGAAGATGAAGACGAGGACTTTGAAGATGACGACAGCTTCATCAATGACGACAGCGAGGACGTGGGCGATGACTCGGACTACGCCCCTCCTGACTCTGATGACAGCGGCAAGGAGGACATGAAGCGACTGCAGAAAGAAGCAAAGGCCTTTGTGAAGAGGAGGAAGTAGACGTGGTGTCCTTTTTGTTTTGTTTGTTTGTTTTTAAAGCTGCAGCAGGCGCAGACGCACCAGTTTAATGAGACTAAATCAGCTGGAGGAGCTGCAGCAGCTGAGGCCTCAGCAGGGCTGTGCGGGTCCACTCTGATTATTTGTTCTTAAATGATTTGTTGTGCTTTTAAACAGTAAGGTTGAGTCCAGACTGGAATAATCATGGCCCAGATGAAGTATCAGGTGAAATCTTCTGAGGAAAATGTAGTTTAGTGCCTTCTGATTATTTGATATTCTTTGCTGATAAAGAATGTTTGCTGTAGAAAGATGTTTGAAGGCTTCATTTCCTTCCACTGCTGCAGAATAACCAAAGAAGGTAAAGACAAAGTTAAGGTCAGAAAAACTGAAAAATAATGTAAATTTCAGAACAACTTCAAGTTATTCTGCAGCAGTGGAAAGAAATGAACCACATTTCTACAGTAAACATGTTGGAACAGCCTGTTAATACACCCTCAGAAGCTTTATTTGGACTTTATTATATATAATATTATTTTAACTTTGGCAGTTTGCTGCTTACTTTTGGACCATTTGAGGTTTTTCACTGGCTTGAACTTATATTTTAAATACAAACTAGAAAGACGAGGCTGTTGACTGGTTCTATATGTTAACTGCATTGTTGCAGATCAGATGTGAGCACTGAAACCAGATCCGAGCATGTTGTCTGCCTCAAGTGGATCAGACGACCAGGTCTAGAAGAGTCTGCAGCTTCTCTCTGTCTGCACTGTTAAACTTTCTGCTGCCATCAAATCTCCACACAGGAAGCCACCTGAGAGTAAAACACTGGCAGCACTTAGAGCTCTCCCCCTCTTTCATTGACTCGCTCACAAGTTTTGTTAAATGTTCTTGGTTCCAGCTGCAAAAGCTTTCGGATGTCTTTGCAGGCGTCGTCTTGGCAACACCGAACACAACAATGGACTTTAATAATTCAGGCTGATTTAATGAAAGATGTTGGATGAAAAACCTTTAATTAAGAAACACTCATGTACCCTCAACGCTGGCTGATTACATAAGTTTGTATTTTGGGACATAACCACTAAGTGAAAATCTTCTCACAGTGTGTTTGATATGCGCCTTTTTTTTGTCGTTTAGATTTTATTTCAGATTCTGTCTGTGTAAATATGTTTAATTTCAGAGTTTTTAGAAGTAGATCCGTTTTTTTTCCCTGTGTTCCCTGAGTGTTTTTCTATTGTTGTTTAAATACATCCGATGAAAACAAAGAGTTGACTGTCTTGATTTAATAGTGTTGATAAACAGAGAGAGTATTTTCACATGTATCTATTAATTTATCAACTATATTTTCCATAAATTTGACCTCCCAGCATTATGGTCTTGTGCCAGTTGTCCCAAACTGAGAGATACGTCATCCTGAAATTAAGGGTTGATTCTGAACACGTTACAACTTAAATGGAATTAAAGAAGGGTGGAATAAAACTAATATAACCTTTTATCACGGGACATGTTAAACTCACACTAAAATCAAGACATTGATTGATTAAGAATGGCTTTTGTCCAGTCGTTGCAAATGAACTCATTGGATATCACACCACACAATACTCAGTATTTTTATTTTATTTTAAACAGTAAATACGTATTCGCGCCTTTCTAGTCTTTTCGACCACTCAAAGCACTTTTACACTACAGTCGTACTCCATTGCTCAAACATAAACTAACATTCACACACATTCATACACTGGTGGTGTGGCTGTTCCACCAGGGGCAATTTGGGGTTCAGTATCTTGCCCAAGGACTTCGACATGCAGCCTGGAGGAGCCGGGGATTGAACCGCCGACCTTCCGATTAACAGGCAACCCGCTCTACCTCCTGAGTGTGATACATGGTATCCTTTTCAAACCGTTTCATACTTCTTGGTCACAGTTTCTCATTTCTCCAGTTTGTGTGCGTACGCATGGATCAGAGTGTCTGTGGAAGATCATAAATTCTCCCGTCATGTTAGTTTTTTTTTAGATATCCCAAAGTTAGCTTAGAAAGTGGCGTAAGCCTTTTTTTTTGTTTTTTTGTGCCTACACAATGTTTATAAATGAAGCCCCTTCCAGATTCGGTCAGCTGATAAGACCTCTAGGTTAGCTTCACAGCTAACTGGGCTAACTAGTAGCAGGTGGAGTGTCTCAATTCTTACATGTTATTCCTTTTAAATATTGTGATTATAATACTTTTGTACTTAAGTAAACATTTGAAAGCAGGAGTTGTAAACTACATGTATTTCTATACTGTGGTATTACTTCTTCCAGCTCTTGTTAGCACTAGCTTTTTCCTACTTAACTTTTGTCTTGCGCATCATAGCGGCCATTTTTTGGGTTATTACTATAACATTACTGATAATGTGTAGCTGGTTTAGGTGGAGCGAATTTCAATTACTATATACACATCACTAGTTGGTAGCATCAAGATCTGTGTAAAATTTTAACCTGAAAAGTAACTAAATCTGTCAGATAAATATAGTGAAGTGTACAATATTTCCCTCTGAGATGTAGTGCAGAAGGTGCGTAAAATGGAAAGCAACAGTACAGTATTTGACCAAATGTACTTTGTTGCTTTCCACCACTGGTGGTTAATAATAGAAAAGGGCTGTGTCCTAAATTTCAAGTTTCCAAAATTTTATCTGAGCCTCAAAATGTTCACCCTTTTTACTTTCTACTTATAAAAAAACATCTCCATCTTCTCAGGTCATGTCTGAAATCCTATAAATAATATTTTGAGATATATTTTGAGATGCCAGTGCAGTCAGAATATTTCAGCCATTTTTAAAATTAAATCAACATGAACCTTCTAGAAAAGACTATTAATATCTGATAAGAAGAAAGCTAAAAGCAGGTCATCGGTAAAATCAAGAAATGACAAATGATACAAGTTGAAATAATCTTATTGCAGAGAATGATTACAGACACGTATAGGGCATGGTGAATGAGTGAAGGAGGCAGTGATTTCGTACACACCCTCGGATGTTCACATCACGTGACCTTTGTCGCACAGCCTTTGAGGCTTTAATCAATACCAGTGTGAAGGAAGAGAAATCACACACATACGACGAGCTTCAGGTGGGATTAAAATCCTTGATTAATGTTTTCATTATTAAAATAACTCCACCTCGCCTGGGCAAATAAATCCAATCAGGATGTGGGTTAATTTAAAATAGTCGGGTTTATTAAACTTCCTTCCACAGGAGATTTTTTTCTGTCTGAATGAATGAAGTCAGTCTGATTCACAGTTCACAGGAACATATTAACAATGGCGACTGATTAAAACAATAATGTGTCCCGTTTACACGCCACTGTCAGTCATTTGAACAGTTCTGACATGCAGAAATACACCAAAACAGACCTTCAACTGCAAGCTGAAGAAAAAGTTGGACATCTGTCGAGCACTGGGAACAAACCATCACTTTGTTCTTCTGCGCTGAACAGTTTGCTCAGCGCAGAAGGTGCGAGTTGTTGGTATGGTGGAAAATGGGACTTTGTGCCGACAGAAGACGGTTCAGAAACACGTCTGATTCTGGCGTCTGCTGCCACTCAGCAAACTTAATATTTTCAGCAATGTGGGAACAATGACTAAAATGTGACTAAACGATTTGAATTAATCTCTCTCCAACCAATAGATGCTTAACGTGTTTAAAGCAGGAACATCAGTCTGCATTTATCTATAAATGAATGTGTTGTACACAGCTGCTTCATACTGCCTGGAGTTTTTCCCTTCAGTTCCTTACATCCCTGGAGACAAACACACCGACCAGCAATAACAGGTGAACTGAATAACACTGATTATGTGGTTGCCATGGCACCTGTCAGTGGGTGGGATCTGTCAGTCAGCAGGTGAACTTTGTGTCTTCAGAGTTTATGTATTAGAATCAGGAAATTGGGCGAGCATGAGGATTTGAGCGACTTTGACATGGGGCCAAACTGCTGAAGAAGCTGATGCTGGTTCTGATAGAAAGGTGTCAGCCTCGACGGGTCAGGGTTGTTTTGGCGGCAAAAGGGAGACCAGCATGTGGTCATAATGTTATGGCTGATCATGTGTATGTTCACCTTCATCAAATTACATGCTAATGACACCGTTATGACTTGGTAATCTGTCATTTGTGAGGGAGAGGTTGGATTACTGGAGCTCTTAACTCCTAGAGTGGTTGTGTTTGTTTTATTCTTGAAACACATTTTATTATATGATGCGATCATTTATGTTTAGAATTAAAACAAACAGCATCGTATTGACTACGGCTTCATCAACATTTATTTCAATCTTCACAGTACAAATTAAATAAAACTCACATTAGCTGCCTCGGCCTTTGGATTTGTGGTGCTGTGTGTTCACATTGTGTCGCTCGGCAGCTTCCTGACAAAAAATATGGCCGAACTCTGCAGGTTTTGACCTGAGTGACCCAAATCTGATCTTTTCCAGTTCGGATTTGAGACACTTTCATATGTGGTCCAAATCAGATACAGGTCGGATTTTTTTTAAATGCAACCTCGGTCTGGACGGTGAGATCTGAGTTCATGCCACTCTGACATCACTCTAGAGTGACCGCCATCACAGCTCTGCGCTAGTGGGAGCCACGGCAAATGAAAAGCTTGCTCATGAATTCCCTTTCTGCCACCTGAAATCAACTGTAGACACTAACCTCTGAAGCCACGTCAGCTTGCTGCGTGTGATGTTGTTTTATTCTTTTGCACATGTGGGTCACTTTCAGGCCGTGGCTCCAGTTCACACATTTATTACACAATTATTATGTGAACAGTCAATCAAAGCAACCAGATCTAGGCAATAAATGGTAATTGGGCATTAAGGCCTGCAGAGTGAACCTAGCCTAAGACTTTCTGAAGAAGCTGATTCTTTATGTGTTGAGTTGTTTTCCTCATGCTTTACTGTGATTGGCTCAGCTGTTTCAGAGCGATGACACCAGTGATTTGATGAGCTAATATCCCCAAATGAGACATCGGCCACACAGGTGTTTGTTTGCCCGGAATGAGAACATTGTTTCCCAGGATAAAACCAACGTTAAAATCCAGTATTTCCACAAACTGTGCCCTGCTTTTCAGGAACAGAACTACAAACATGGCCCCTTGTTGTCTTCTTCGCTGTACGTTTAATCCACTGTCCAATCCCATTGAAGGCGCCGCCACCTCTGGTCTGGTAATACAGGTTTAAAATGCACTTTGAACTGTCATATGTTTGACCTCCGAGCTCCCTCCACGTCCTCCGTCATTCGGAGGGAGGAGGTCCGTGCTTCGCCTTCATCAAGAGACTTGGTGGCCACAAAAGTCACCAGCCTCAGCGGGAACTTGCCCGCCTTCTTCATGCGCTTGTTGTTGTTTCGGACGCTCATAAAGCAGAGGGTGTTGATGATCCCGTTGCTCATGGCGATGCACTCAATGATGTAGAAGGCCACCAGGGAGTTCCTGTCCCTGGATATGAGGGTGGGGTAAAAGTCCCGCAGCAGGGCGAAGCCGTAGTATGGCGCCCAGCACAGGATGTATGCTACCAGCACCAGAATCAGCACCACCACCGTCCTCCGACGCTTCTGAAGCCTCTTCCGGATCTGCTCAGTCTGGAAACCCGGAACGTCTTTAAACCACAGCTCCCTGGAGATCTGGATGTAGCAGACGGCCATGACGGTCACTGGGCCAATGAACTCCAGTGCCAAGATGAGAAGGAAGTAGGAGCGGTAGTATGCCTGCTGGTCCACAGGCCAGATCTGAGCACAGAAGGTCTTGTAGCTGCGACCTTCCACATGTGGGTATGTCATCTCAGAGGCCATGTAGGCAGAGGGGATGGAGATGAAGATGGGGACGACCCAAACTGTCACGATCACACAGTACGCCGTCTGGAGTTTCATACGAGGCCTCAGAGGGTGGAGGATAGCCATGTACCTGCAGAGAGAACAATGGACCAGGTCACGTCTTGTCTTTTAGTATCAAAAGCTCTGTCATGCGCGATGTCCATGCTCATAAAATAAAGGTGGCTGGGCTCAAATGTAGACTCAGATAAGACAGGACTAACTTCTACCGTTTGTTAACAAAGCTGAAGGCACTCTACTCACAGGATGTTCCAGGGTTAGCACAGGTTATAGTCCAACAAAACTGAGAGTGTAACACGTAAAATCCAGAAAGGCAGTGAAGTCCGAAACACAAAGAAACAAACAATTAACCGGGATACTGAGACTCAAGAATCCAAACAGGAACAAATCAGGAATCAGGTGAGGAAATAGACTGGCAGGGACAGAGGAAGAGGTGACGTGCAACGGTTAAGTTTCACGACTGTACAATTAAGTAAACACTGTCAAACAGTATAACAATGATCCGACAGGGACCGAACAGAACATACGAGGCGGGAAACACAAAACAGATGTAAGACGTAGGAAATGAAACTAGACGGACAGCAAGCACCAACGACTATAAACCAAAACAGGAAGCAGAGCACAACAACCAAAACACGGACTGAATAGACAAAGCACTCAAACAAAAACGTAACTTGACACAGATAGGCACCCGAACACACTATGACTGAATACAGAAACCGATGCGGACACGGACAAGACAGACCAACATGCAGACCAAAACCAGAACAAACAACAACGTACCAGAATGAAAGAAACAGAACATAGAGCACATGTAAAATCTAAACGGGAAACAACAATCTAATGAACAGATCTAAGAACTAACACACAGAACTAGAATTATAAACTAAGAACAAGGCTGAACAAATGAAAATAATGGTGAGTTCCATTTGACATGGGAAGTCGAAAATTTCAAAAGGAATGCCCCCTTAAGTTGGATTTCCGACATGGCAAGTCGGGAAAACCAAGATGGCTGCTGCGACTATCAACTGTTAGTGAAAGCTGTTTATTAGCACTTCTTTGTACTTGTGTCACATAGAAATGTTCGTACACAAAGTGCTCTCCAACTGCCGTCTGTGGACATGTTGCTGTAGTGTTTAATATGAGTAAATACCACACAATGTGTTTTTTTTTTTTTTTTTTAAATCAACCGTCGAACAATAGCTCACCTGGCTAGTTGTAAACAACGGCTGGCCAAGCGAGGTTTTCTGACTTTTAACTGGAATGCCATCAACTCAGGTGTGACGTCATTCCTAGCTCCCTGTCACGATTAGTGGTGTGGAGACAGGTTGGAGGACCCAAACGCAGGACACAGAGCGGAGCAGGTATAGTTCAACAGGGGTTTATTGATGGAAAACAAACTAAAGGCGAGCACACTTACTGACAGAGTGGCTGGTTAACAGAAATCCAAAAGTACAGGGAGACAAGACAAGCAAGGCTGGTTACAGCAGCAGGCAGGCAGGCAGGCAGGCAGGCAGGCAGGCAGGCAGGCAGGCAGGCAGGCAGGCAGGCAGGCAGGCAGGCAGGCAGGCAGGCAGGCAGGCAGGCAGGCAGGCAGGCAGGCAGGCAGGCAGAGAGTACATGCACGACAGACTGGGGGGTAACATGAACAATGACCGGACAAAGACAAGACAGAAACACCAGGTATATATACACAGGGACTAACGAGCAGGGCGGGAGCAACACAGGTGACAGACATGAGACTAACGAGGCAGAGAGAGAGAGCAGAGGAAAACAGAGAGACTTGACATGACAAGCAGACTATATAGCACATACTGGACACTAGACAGGACAGAACCCAAAACTCAACATACTAAGGCAGATACTAAACTCAAAAGTGCAACACAAAGGATGGCCAACCAGCAGAGCGTGACACTCCCACCTCCGAGGTAAATGGAACGCACCATTTGACAGAAAAACCCAAAACCATGACCCATTCAGAAGGATGAAACCGCCTCTGTAAGCATTCAGTTCTTTATGAAGAAACGTGGTTGTGGTCAGCTTGACTTAATGTAAAACTTCACTTAACAGCTGCCTGCCCAGTTTCCTGGCCTGGTGTGGGAACACATTTTGACAAATAAACGCAGGTCTCCATTAGACGCCTGGTCTGGTTATTAAAGAAGTTCTTTGGATGTATAAAACCTCTTGAACCCCGCGGGGTAGCCCGCTTCAGCTTCCTCTAAGCTGCTTAGATCATTAATACAAACATTAATGTTTAAACGTATGATCAACACGTCGGTGTGGACACATCATTAGATCGGTTAGATTCTCCACAATTCAGTCGTTCAGTTCATTTAACGGAAACAACGAGCCCCAAAGTCTAATTCATACAGATTTACCAGTGATGCCGGCATGGTACAAGAGATGAAAAAACAGTGCCGACTCTGGTTACCTTTGAAGCCTCGTTAAGTCCGAACGTGTCCGCTCCGTGATTATTTATCTGCCTTCAGTCTGGAAGGGTCCAACCATCAAAAGAATCAAATCATAAAAATGAATCCGTGTTGTGAATCCTGTCATGTGAAGTCCATCGCTGTCTGTCTGCTAACTTCTGCCACATTTCTCTCATCCTGCACCCTGCTGTTGTTTTCATTACGTTGCTGCCTTCAAAATAAAAGCGCATAAGCCGTCTGTCAGAGCTAGATCAAATGAATGACGTGTATTTGATATTATTGGATCATTTTTATACAAGTAATATTCATACTGTTTGAAATAAATAAACTGTTTTATAGTAGCCTCTTTCAGTTTTGTGCGAAAGGAATTAGCAAATAAAAAGCTTGCGCTATTAATTAATTAATTAATGGTATTACCGTAAATAAGTCATACTAACATTGTTCTGTGTAGAGATAAAGGAATCGCAAGCCTCGATATAAAATAACTTAATATACTTTTTCAATTTTACTGTAACAGTTTTGGAGTTTGGGTTTTTCCTGATTAGTTTATTTATCTCTTCCTGTCTATTTTTTTGTTCTGTGTTTTCTGTTTTATTTCGTCCTTGTGTGTTTTTCGTGCTTTACTTCCTGTTTTATTTTGTAGTGTTCCACCTCTGATGGAACACAACAAAATTGCTTCGCTCTCTGTCTGTGTTAATTTTCCCATTTTGGGCCCCCCACCAGTGCCTCGGCTTGTCACCTCCCTCTTGGTTAGTTAGGTTTGTATTTGGGTTTGTCAGATTGTTAGTTTATGTTGTCGAATGTCTTCCCTCTGTTTTTTGATGGATTTGTTTTGGATTTACCCATTGGACTTTATATCTGTACCCTTTTCGATTTATTAATTCTCTGGAAGCCATTGGATTTTATATTTTTTGGATTGATTCATTTATTCACTGGACTGCCTGCATGTTCTTTATTCTGTAAATTACATCTGGATGCCACTTATTGCATCTGCTCTGTGTCTGCATTTGGGCCCAAATCCTTTGTTCCTGTGTCTGAGCTTGACAAAACCTGAAATCTAACTCCGTTGCTACATGTCTTCTAACCAGACTATTTGTCTATTTATCTGCTCATGTCATTTTGGTTCAAAATTGTGGTTCTCTGTCATTTTAGCATATGTTTCTTTATAAGACAGTTCAAGAAAACTGTCAAGTGCAGTGGCTATTATTGTGAGTAATGTCTCTCTGACTTTGTTTTCTCAATGGAAACCTCTCCAACTACTCCTGGAGCATTATCTAATTATCTTTTGTCCAGCTGTCCATTAGATCAGTCTGTTCCATATAGGAAGAGGCTAAAATACAGCTAAAGACACTCTGGAAGGAGGTTTGGATATTCAAGGAGCGCCGTTTTGTGACGAAGGAGAAGAATATTAATCTGTACTTCAGCAAAATGAGGACTGTTTGGAACAAGGTAATCACACTGATGGACAGAGTTAAAGTAAATAACAGGAGCGGTTTGGAAAACATAAAACATAATTCAAGCTGGCCACTGTTTTTTGCCAAGGGTGAAAAAACTAAAAACTAAAAGAAAGATGTTTCGGGTTTTTCTGATTGAGTTTGATGAAGTTAGATTAAATGTTATCAAAGAAGCAAGATGGGAGCTGTTTTATCTGATCAACAGTATCATCCAGGACAAAGAAGAAAACCAGATGGAATAACAGATATTTTTGCCTAAGTAAATTACTTCAGGGATTAAATGATTATCAGATTTGCTGCTGACTGATTTTTTTGTTCATCATCTTATCTATTAATTAACTTTTTTAAAAAGAGCAATCATTTAGAAAGATGTACAGCAGTTAACAGCAGTTACACCTGTCTTATCTTCAACACAGGTGGACGTGACATCACAATTAGACACATTATTGTCAATATAATTTATATTTGTGCAGGATCTATTTCAGAGAATGATAACCGTACTGGTGCTTAAGCTGATTTAGGGAATGTTTTACTACTTTTAGAGGAAGCTTAGTTATCATGGAATCTGTGTTTGATGTAAGTGTTGCAAACTGCCAGTGCCTCCTTCTGTCAAAGCAGTCGTTTGTGTGTGATTTTTGTCAGGTTTTACTTTTAATTAAGTGTTGTACCTTTGATCCAGCGCTGGGAAGGACACAGTCATGACACACTGCCGCATGTTTTGGGCTGTGATCAGAGAACTTTGACGTTCCCGGATACACAGAGATTATTCATCTTTCCTCTGTACGTATGCTATTTATACATGCTACGGGATGTCAGCCATGATGAATGAAACATTGGGGGGGCTGCAGCCAGTGATGGATTTAATTCAGAAGCTGAGAGGAAGCCCAGAAGCCTCTTTTATTTTAGAAAAATGTAAATCATCTCTGGTCTTTGGAGCCTTGAGATCTGTTTGATGTGGAGTGAGCAATGGACACAACATCACCTGCTTCTCATGAAACATAAGCCTGCCTGTTCCATGCAATGCCGTCTGAGTGTGTCTTCCAACTTATGCAGTGAAACCCCTACAAACGGTTCAGAAATGACTCATGTCACTTACGGTGACCAGGTTTCTGAAATGAAAACCGGGGACATTTTTGGTTTGGTGGTCAGTATGTCATTAAAAAATATGTTCTTATATATGAAACCAAAAAGGGGGACGGTTTTGGTTTTATAATCTGTCAAATATAACCCTTCTGAATGAAATCAAGCATTTTGAGGCAGAAACCTTCAGTCAATAAATAGAGGCTGGAATCACTTTCTGGCAAGCAGAATACTGCATCACATAGACTGTATTGGCCATTTAAAGGTATTTTAACAGGTAAAAACGTCTGGATTGGTTGGTACAAATTATGTAGAGTCGTAAGGATAATTGCCAAAGAGATCCTGTCTTTATTTTATATATAACTCAGCAGTAAGTCATGTTAATTATAGGCTACTGTCTGTTTTCCAAATATAACCTAGGATATAAGACACATAAAAATATATTTACAGTGTTTACTCAGTTAACTATTTACATTTTTGTATTACACAGTTGGTATTTACATATTTAAATTGTTACATTTAACTACAGGGTCTGCATCCATCTACCTAAACTCCATAATACAAGTTTACGTTCCTTCTCGACCACTGCGCTCCTCCAACCAACGCCGCCTGGTTCTGCCATCCCTTCACACAAAGCAATCTCAGTCCCGGCTGTTCTCATCTGTGACACCACGATGGTGGAACGAGCTACCACACGCCATCAGAGCAGGGGCGTCCCTCTCTAACTCTCTCTCTAAGAAGCTCCTGAAAACTCTGCAGAGAACGCTTCCTCTGATAACACCTCTAACTCCTAACATGCACCTGTGCTCTTCTTCTATCTTCTTACAATTCTCTTGGATTGATTGCACTTTTTGATTAACTCTTACTCCTTTCCCTAGCTATTTACCCCATGCCATACATGCTAACAGCTCTTACTGGTTGTCACTTGTCGAACTTTAGATAAAAGCATTTGAGTAAATGTAATGTTAGCAAGTTAACATGCTTATAGTTGGTATGTTGATATGCTAACATGTTAACATGCTAAATGCGAACATGTCATTAGGTGTTAATCTTAAAATACATTTGAGGTTTAAAGGAATTTGGTGCTTATGCTGCATTCACAATAAAAAAAATAAAAAAACAAGAAGCATTATTCTGTTTTTGGAGCGTTGTCCTCATTGTTACCCTGACACCACATTAATTAGCTATTTTAACTATAATGGCACATCCTTGAGAAATAGGTGGTAGAAGAAGTGCGCTAACAGCTAATACATTAGCCAACATGTTAGAACTCGTCAGTCACAATAGCCCTCCAAGCTAGTGAGCTAGGCTATAGCTTAGTTGCTAACCAGAACACAGGTTTATTTCGTATAGGCTTCGCCCTCTATCACTATTGGGTTTACCCCTCCGCGCCTGCGCGACACTGAGAAAAGTTGTCTACGTCCACCCACAGTGTGGGCCTCTCTTACGTCCGCACCTTGTATATACAATGGCGAGACCCAGCCTTCGGCTCCCATTTTTCTTCAGCACAGAGCTGTCTAAAGAGCAGAAGATTTCCTGTCAGAAAAGAAGAGCGATGTCTTCTAGCAAGTTGATTATGAAGAAGCGGCCGCGCCTTGCCGTCAGATTGGCTCGCACATGCCCACCACGCAGGGAGGTGCTCCCTACTGCATGGCGGCGTGTGTTGGCGCCCATGACCCTCCCTACTCCCCGCCAGGTGCTAAGCTCTCCTGTTCCGTGGAACACGGAGGTTGCTGCCTGCCATTTTGAGGCGGGCCCATCCCCCCTTGGGTCGTGGCTGGGCACCCCTCCCCAAACCGTGCGGTGGCAAGGGCAGCAGAGTGGCTTCCATCATGGCCACCAGGGCGCCTCATCAGCAGGTCCAACCGCTTTCAGAGCGCTACTCGGAGTGGCTGGCTTTCTGCTCGATGCACAGATGGATGAACAGCCTGATCCGCTGGGATCACAGGCTGCTGTTCGCCCCCCTCCCCCCCCTCCCCTGTTTCCAGTACCAGTACAACTGCCTGATGTTCTGTTACTCCCTGGCCCTGCGCACTTTCTCCAAGTGTGTCGAGGCAGCTCTGGAGCCACTGCGGCAGTTGGTCATCAGGGTCCTGTTTTTGACACTATGCTGCTACAAGGCGGTGGTGCAGACGGCCAAGCTTGTCGCACACCTGTCTCACCTGGGTTTTCACGGTGAACTGGAAGAAGAGTGCTCCTCTCCCCTCCCAGAGGCTCACCTACCTGGGTGTGGTACTTGACTCCTCTCTAAGGAGAGCGTAGCACTCTCAGGGAAGGGGGAGGCTCTGGTGGAGCTGCTTCACCGTATTGTCCCACGGGCAGTGGTGAAAGCTCTGTTAATTATGAGGCTTCTGGGCCTCATGTCGGCTGCTCACGTGGTGGTCCCCCTGGGCCTCCTGCACATGAGAAGGTTGCAGCAGTGGTTCATCCGCCTGCGTGTTGACCCAGTGAGACAGAGACGGCGCCTGATCGCTGTTCCTCTGTCTGTGGGTTCAAATCAGGTCTACTGGCGGGACCCCCTCTCTCTGTCCGTTGGGGTTCCCCTGGGCAGGGTCACGCCCCATATCTCGGTCTTCACAGACGCCTGAGTGATGCCCCTATTCTGCTTCTCGGCCAGCTCCTGTGGGTTCGGCCGCTGAGAGGCGGCGCCTGGAGGGTCTAGGTCTCTTCCGTGAGGTGGTTTGCACCATCTAGTGGTCGAGAGCCACCTCTACTCAGTCCTTTTACTCCTCCAAGTGGTCAGCATTCCAACGCTGGTGTTTGAACAAGGGGTTGGAACCGGTGGCCTGTCCGCCGAGTGTTTTGGCTGAGTGATTTTCCCTTGTGAGTGTGCGGTGCGCCCTCTCCCAAGGGATGGTGGGGGGGAGCGGCCACTGCTCACGCTGGCCCTGCTCTGTGCGCAGCTGATGCGGTCGCTGTTGTGACCCCGCCTGCTTCTGTACAGCCGCTGGGCCACCCATCCAGTTCGCCGACTATTACACATGGGTCGATCCCCTGCCTCCCATGTCACGCCATCGGTGCTTGTGCGCACGCTGACACCAATGCCGCGGATAGCAGGTGACTGGGTAGCTCATTTATAGCTCTGGGCAGGTGAGTAGTGCTTGGTGGTACAGCATGGGCCAGTGAGGCGTGACTCATCCTGCTTTGTCTCTAACCCAATAGCGATAGCCTTAGAAGGCGAAGCCTATACGCAATAGAACAGGGGTTATGTACTGTAACTCTAGATTCTATGAGTGTAGGTGCAGCCCTCAAAGTTGAAGGCCTCACTGGACCTTGGTTCTCAGTGCTGAAGAAAAGGCATTTTGGGAGCCGAAAGCTGGGTCTCACCGTTGTGTATATATATACAAGGTGCGGACGTAGGAGAGGCCCACGCTGTGGGTGGACGAAGACTAAAATTCTCAGTGCCGCGCAGGCGCACGGAAGGGGTAACCCAATAGCGATATTACGGAAGCCCATACAAATGATTTGAGTATAATTCAAAGTCCAGGGACAAGTTGCTCTGTCTCCACTGAAGAAGCAGCAGCGCCCTCTGCTGTTTCTAAAGAGAAGTTAAAAAGCTTACAGCACCTGGTATTCCCAGGCGGTCTCCTATTCATTTTCATGACCACACCCAGGTGCATAGGAGACCTATATGTAAATCATTTGTATGTGCTTACATAATAATTTATCAGTGATAATGATACCATAATAGTTTTATAAAAAAGCTTACACCACTTAGTATTCACAGGTGGTCTCTCTTTCAAGTACTCACCAGGCCTGACTCTGCTTAGCTTCCAAGATCATATAAGATCAGGCGTATTCAGGGTGATACCATAAGCCAAAAAACCATCCATCTAAAGGGTCTTTGCAGATGCTGATCATAAGTGGTGTAAAAGTACTCAATTTTCCTACTTAAGTAAAAGTACAGATACCACACTCAAGTAGAAGTAAAAAAGTACCTGGTTTTAAAAGTACTGAAGTACCAGAAGAAAAGAGTACTACACATTCAAATCTATTGATTACTTTTCAGACCCGGAGGTCCCACGTTTTTGAAAATTATACATTTTACTTTTTAGATGAGTTTTTTTTTGGTTGTTGCATCTCTCAAATTCTTATTTTATATATATATATATTTAAAAGGTTTTGTTTGACTAAATTGGCACAAATCTGATTCCATACATACTCCCCGCCTATAATAATTCAGCAATCAGTTAAAGATAGTACGAAGTACTGCTAAATAATATGTGCCACATTTTGGTAAAGTTTGGATGAAATTTGTAGGAGTAGTGGTGAATAAACAGAAAAATATCGAGCCAAATCGTAGTGCTTTGTTACGAACCAAATGGTGGAGCTATCTGCCCGACCCATGAGCCAATTTCCCACCAGATCACATTTAAATATTTTCAGTAATATTTGAGAGATCTTGTGGACCCACCTGTCCACAGCGATGGCCAGCAGTGCGTTGGTGGACACGTAGAGAGAGACGGTGCGTAGGTAGTTTGTGGCGGCGCAGAGCAGCAGGCCATGATCCCACGACAGCTGCTTCACCACGTAGTAGTCCAGTAGGAAAGGACAGCATACCGCCGCCACCAGCACGTCCGACACGGCCAGGTTGGCGATCAGCAGGTTGGTCAGGTTGCGGAGCTGCTTGTAGCGGGCGAGGCTGGCGATGAACAGACAGTTCCCCACTCCACAGACCAACATGATGCCCACCAGGACCACGGCAATGACAATGGTGGCCACGAAGAAGGCCTGCCCTTGCGTGGTGTCCGGGATCTCGTCCAGAGGAATGTCATAGTCCAGGCCATTACTGGCCAGGAGGTAGTCCGTTAGAGCCAAGCTGTTGTTGGTCGGCTCGTCCATTTTGGATCAGGTCATCGTGCTCATTTAGCAGTGTCTGCAAGGGTGGTGTAGGGAAATAAAGTAAAGTTAACATTTTGATCCCTGTGAAATAATAACAGTTCTCGATTGCATCACAGGATCAGCAGTAAGAGTTCGCCCATGTTGATGGACCACATTTCCGCTTTAAGGATTTCTTGCTTAAGTTGGCTTAAAAGGTGAGACTCTGCCTGACCTTGTGGTTACATTTGTCAACTACTGTTTCCAGATAAAGACTGACCTTTCAGTCTCAAATGACATCTCATTCAACAACCGTTCTCACTCCCATATGGTCGCACGATCAAAGCCCCCTTGGCATCATTTTTAAGACACTTGGGGAAGACCTTTAGCGATAGCCCCTGAGTAAAGCCCCCAAATAATTGGTTTCATCGCATCGCAATCGCATTTACAAGATGGTTCCTTTAGAGCGTAGGTTGTGCACGTCTCCAGAAATTATCGCTACGCGTCCACAATATGCAATTCAGCACATGAATGTGTCGACCTGACCGGCAGGTCAGCAGCAGACTTAACATAGGAGATTAATGGCAGGATCTTTACAATAAAACTCCTGGAGCTAGTCCTCAATTACCGATATCTATATGATGTCTCATTAAAACCATAACCTCCTCGCTATGTTTGGTTTGGTTACAATGTGCAAATTTGGAAGTTGTCAAGGAAGATAATCTGGTGTCGCCCAGGGATGATCCAGCGCTGGTCTGCTCCCTAGTGGATTCACGTTTAATCCTCCAGGGACAAGCAAAGTACGCTGGCAAGTGAACTTGCCGTTTGCGTCGCTGCTGCTTTTCTATGCCTATGCATTGTTATAAAGCAAGTATATCAGGGGCTTAAGGAGGTCGTTGGGTTGAATTCATGGACAACTCTTCTCCATGACTTATCACATATGGCCACATGGTCAAGACCCATCGGCGTCAGTTTGTAACGCACTGGGGATCCCTATAACTTCACAGTTCAACACAGTGGGGGAAGCCCTGTAGCGTCAGTTTTTGACGGTAAAGGTAGGTATATGATATTTAACAGAAACAACTGAGGAAAGAGGTGGATGGGGCAGTGGATAAGACCCATGCCTTTGGTGTGAGAGACCCGGGTTCAACTCCCCACTATGGCAAGACACGTAACCCCTAGTTGCTCCAGAGGAGTGCAACCTCTGACATGTATAGTAATTGTAAGTCTCTTTGGATTAAATGAATAAATGTAATGTGGGCCAGAACCCTGACTTTGAACCGGGTGTCCTGTGTGGAGTAAAAAAAAGAAGTTAACATTAAATATTGTTACGCAAGTGACGTGTGTTAACTGACTTAAGTAGTTATGTTAACCCAAACCATGACCTTTTCCTAACCTTAACGAAGTAGTTTTGTTGCCTAAACCTAACCAAATTGCAACGTTTCATAACTTTCATGCCGTTTCAAAATGGCGATGTTTCAAAATGCTAGCATTTCATTTTGAAAGTGTAACTGGATGTTGCATATTTATTGTTGCTAAGCGTTGCTAACTTGACCGCGGAGCCTTAAACGTGTAAAACTGACAACGAAGCGAAGGGCCTTGACCAAGCGTCAGTATGTGACGTCGGGAGTGAGAATATGTTGGGATGGATGGATGGATGGATGGATGGATGGATGGGTGGATGGGTGGATGGATGGATGGATGGATGGATGGATGGATGGTGGATGGGTGGATGGATGGATGGATGGATGGATGGATGGGTGGATGGATGGGTCAGAAACCAGACTTTCACCCAGGAGACCAGTGTTTGTTTCCTGTGTAAAACAAAAACTCAACATTGAATCTTTTTACTTTATGTAACTTAACTCACGTAAATAACGTAGTTATTTTAACCCAAACCATGATTTTTTAGATTTTAGTTCTATAGAAGTAGTTATGGTGCCTAAACCAAAAAGTGCTTGTTAACCACTAATTTTATTTTGAAATGCTCAGCAGGAGTTGTATGTTTGTGTGTTTAAAAAATGACGCCAAAGGGTGCTTACCAAGCGTCCATATGTAACGAGTTGACAATGAGAATGTGTTGCATTTGAAGATTGTAATGTTCCCACGATGACATAGTCTGTGGGAAAACATGACCATTTGTCAAATAAACGATCTGAATTCTTCTTCCACACATGTGGTGACTAGTGAGTATTTGGGGCAGCAGGTATGATGAACTGAGTCAGAATAAACCACAGTGTGTGTTCACGATCATAAAGGAACATGAAGTAAAACACAAATATAGGTTGTTTGTTCAGCACGTTATTACCACCCATATTTACGTTTATTGTGGCAGCGACCTTTAGCGGCTGTGCACCTGCAGCAAATGGAAGAAGTCGAGTGATGTATTATAGAGAAAGTCCACATAAGCAGGATGGGGTGGATGGATGGGTGATTGCAGTAGTCCAACCAGGATGTGTTTTTAATAGTTTTTAGACAACAGTGGAGCTCTATGGCTCAGAGGAAGAAGAGATATCAGACTGAGACACACAGGACTATTAGAGAAACATTCACTGGGTCTTTTGGGTGAGTAAGTTCATAATGTTTGACTCTAGAGTTAGTGTTTGACCTACAGACATCTCTTTGGATGTGTTTAGAAATGTTGGACCTGCGTTTTTAGATGCATCATGTTCATAGTTTTGCTGATGCAGTTGTTAAATTACAGTGTGGCTGTAGTCTACTTGTTAGATTTTGCGTCTCACCTCTGACGTCTGAAAAACCCTTTAACTGCTCCCACACAAGTTGTTTTTTTTCTCATTATCATGTCAGCTGTAAAAAAGAGACTCAACTGATTTTAGGTTTGATCTCATCTCTGATCAATTAAAGGACGGCAGGAGTCACGGTTCACAGCAGGAGCGTTATTTCAGTGAGAAGAATTAGGGAAATAAATCCATCCTTCAACATCATCACTCGTACCGATAAAGACATGTTCAACAAAACAGGGTTCACCAAATGAATTTGTATGGGAGTCTTTTCATGTCAGAAAAATCAACAGATAAAGATGATAAAAATTTAATTTGGCATCAGAATTCAGAAAATAACTTAAATCTTAATTATGATAGTGCAGCATCTCAAAAGATACTGTTGCAATCAAAATTACGTTTCATGCATGTGCTTATTGTCTTTGCATGAATGGACTTCCATACACAAATGACTAGCATTTTGGCCTGTATAGAGATACGTGATGTTGTTGTCCATATAATTGTTTTTATATAATTTAGAGCTGCAATATCAATTAAAGGAATTATTGCAACTATTTTGATTAATTATTTCAGACATTTTTCAAGCAAAACTGCATTCTTTAACATTCTTTTTATTGAACATATTCAAAATTACAACAGTACAGCACAGTGTATATGCAGATTATATGAAATATGTAGCAAATCCAAAATACATCCATAGCAATGATCTCAAAAGTCCTTATAAGATCTGGCATTTCAGGCAGTTGCACTCTGAGTTCCCAGGTACTCCAGCACTTTGCCAAACATTGCTGTAAAAAGGTCCCTCCGACCATTAATACCAACTCTTAGTCTTTCCAGAGATAGTCTGATATCATAGACTTCCACAGATGTATTGAAGGAGGTTCATCTCCCACCCCTTTGGTCATAACAGCCTTTTAGCCCAATATAAGCAAAAGGTGTTCTTATATGATCTTAGTGATTCAGGGATATATCCCAATAGAAATACTATTGGATTAGGCTGGAATTGCTGCTTGATTATCACACTAACCTCATCACATACAGTTTGCCAAAACAGTTGAATCTTTTCGCATTCCCAGAGGCAGTGAAATCTTGTCCCTAAAATAGTCACATTTTGGGCAGTTTGGACAGGCCCTCACTAAACATATAGGGGGATATATAGACATTTTGTAAGATATTATATTGCATTTCTCTGAATCTGTTACATATGGATATCTTCGAAGGTAAAAGTAAAATGTCCTCCCATGTTTTAGTGTCTATTGTTGTTTTAACCTGAGTCTCCCATGATGTCAAAAGGAATGATAGTCTGTCAGTATTCAAATGTTGCAGCTTGGAATATTGTCCTTGTTTATAAATTAATACATTTAATATCTTAAGGTTTAGGACTGTTAAGTTGGACAAAGACATCACCATGAGCTCTGCTAAAATGTGAATGCCATTTTTTAACAATTCATAGATTAAAATTTAATTAGTCAAGATTGCTCAATAATAAAAGTTATTGTTGCAGCTCTAATATCTTTACAGTAGCGTTTATTATTACATAACAGTTATATGTTTATGTTTGCAGACCTTGTTTTGGCTCTATGTGTGTTTCTGTATCTTGTGTGTGAGAGCAACTGGAGTCTAATTCCTTGCATGTACAAACCAATTAAAGTGATTAATAAAAAATTATTTTAATAAAGGTTTAATTTAATTACGGTGTCAATCAAACACACCTCAGCTAATGTAGCATCCCAGTGAAGTCTTCGCTCGTCTCCACTGATGCTTAAATTATCCACATTAAATATATGAACATGCCATTTTAAATATAAATATAAGTGGTATCTATAGATTTAATGGACATTTGTCCCTTTGTTGCTGTTAGATATGACTTGAATCAGAATGACTGTAACTTTATATAATGTTATATTAATAATCTCTTCATTTAGAGCATTTTTCAAAATCCGTGTTACAAAGTGCTTTCACAGAAATACAGTTTCCGTGAAATTATTAGTAATTGCAGGAAATAAACCGCAGGTTTTGTTTCATGATAAAACAGATAAAACAACAATTTAAGGAATTAAAATACAGTTAACTAAAATCAGGAAAGGCTCTGCTATAAAAGTATGTTTAATTCTCTCCTGGAACCATCTGAGGTCCCCAGACCACACTTTGGGGACCACCAAGTGGATTAGAAATAAGTGTAATAGTCGGCAGAGTTTTATTTAAACACACAAGGACAAGACTTACATGAGAATATAACTGCAGCAGCACAAATAAATTAAAACATAAGACCAAATGTTTCTACAGGAAGCACATGCTGAGCCATG